TGCCATCCCTTGGCTATTGGCACAGATGATTGAGGCTCTGTGAAGTCTTGGGGGTGGCTCGAACAAGTATATGTTGGCGAAATAACGGCAGTCATGGTCCTTGTATGAAGTACATGGATCGGCGGATCCCTGATGTTGTAGGCAGCCAGTTAATCTGTGAAGCCTGGAGAGAGTCTTTAGCTGCCGGGAATCCCATTGACAGAGTGAAGCCTGGCTGTTCCTGAACCTGTGTAGATGAAACTACAGGGGGCTCTCCACAGTGTCGTCCTGCTCTTGCGATTCAACTAGCCCTGGCAATCTGGACGATGGGTGTGGAACTACCGTAACTGTGACGAGCACCACTGCAAATCTCCCCTACATAAATAATTTCTTATCGTATAACATTCTGATTTTTTTTTTATTCCCTTTGTGTTTGGCCTTATCTTGTGAATATGATTGAAAGTTCGGGATATATTTGATTTATTTGGTTTGTTGCACCGGTTTAAAAGTCACACGTCGTGGGAAATTTACTGATTTTTGCTGTATAAGTGTCCCCCTTGTGGTAAATTACTTGTGGTATTGTGATATTTTGGTTATAAACGTATAAATTGTTCGACTTGTCTGGATATTAAGTAAGGAATTGCAGTTTGAAGTAAATCTGGCTAATTTACTATATATCCTCCACAGTGCGGATGGATTGTGTGGTTAGATGTTTTAACATTGAGCCTTGAGAATTGACCGGCAAATTAAGGATTCTAGAACTGTTTTATATGAAGAAAGGTTGTATAAGAAACTGACAGTTTTATAACGTGAATTGATGATTGAGTATTGCAAATATTGAGTAATTCGTATAAAGGAATTTGACCGTGTAAAATAAGAATTGGTCAGGGAACTTAATTGTAAGATAAATCTAGTATGATTGATGAATTTGCCGTTTTATGGTCATGGGCCAAGTTCTGCATAGAGGGGCATTTTGAGTATTTGTTATTTCCCCTGCAATTTCAAGTTGTGCATAATTATTGTTTTGAATAAATTTAGATGTATGTATTGTAAATATTAAAATTTTGTGTGAAGTGATCTTCTTGCTAGAGTTCCCATAGACTGTGACATCCAGGTATGTGTCTACGGGGTAAACCTACACAAGATCAAGTGAAACGACGTTGAACACTTCCTATGGAATGCTGCAAAGAAACCAGACCAGGGAACCAAACCGGACAAGCATATTCGATAATAGGTCTAATAAGAACACAAAACATTTTCATTTGGATTTGTGGATCTCTAGAAATAACCAACCTATTGACAAAGCCTGACATTCTAGTTGCTTTAGACACAGTTAAGTCAACATGCTTCATCCAGCTCAGATCATTTAGATATAGTCACACCAAGATACTTATAACTGTCAACAGTCTCCAGTGCGTGGCAACCCAAGACATAACTAGGACGACTAAACGATTTAATGAAGCAGAAAAACACTAATAAGAAAACTGCTATTCGTGCACATGGAAAATTGTAACAGTAAATTTGGCAAGCTGAGTCACAAAAGGAAGTCTAGTCACTAATTTGCAACTGTCACGATTGTTATAGTTTCATGACTCACGGCGTCAACAAATCAAAGAAATAAACCAAAGTTATCTGAATAATTCAAAACTTGAGTAACCAGAACTGTCATTAAATCTTCTGAATCTCTAGCACTCAGTAAAAAACTACTTCTGCTTAAATAGTATGGCATAACATGAACAGCACATTGTTGGTCACATACATGTGTACAAGTATAATCAGGGATCATTGAATGGTTATTCTCTCAAAGATGCAAAGAAATCTGAGGAAATATGAACAAATAATTTGAGCTGTCTTATCCAAAGTGCTCTAAAAATATAAAGGAAAATACTTCTTAGCAAAATGTGGGTCTCTTGGGTTCCACAAGAATGAATAAACTGAAGATTACTTGGATTGACTTGGCGAGTTACAAATGTGAAAATGTCTTGATGACAGCATGGCAAAAAAGATGGCTGCCTATGCAACGTCAGACTCACAGTGTGTGCATCAGCGCAGCCACTTACGCATAGTGACTCTAGGAAGGAGGTTGACAGGCTCTTTCACTTACTAAAAAAGAAAGGTTTGCAATATCTTCCTTCAAGAAATAATTAAAGTCTTAATCATGATTCTAAAGAGTTAAAAATACCTACAATACCTATATCTACATGTTGTTGATGATTAACATGAGAATAAAAACAATGTAAAATATTCACTGCACAGGCTGCTGCAGTGACACGGCTCCCCTAACTGCACCTTGCAGTTAAACCAAATCAATCACATCAGGATTGTCTTCACATAAATGTCCGTTCAAATATTCATTCATTTAACTTGTGAACATCTCATCTCGCATGGACTGATCTCCAGTGTGGGTTAATCATCAGGTGTGGGCCTCCTATCTGGTGTAAGCTCCTTGTTAGGTAATCCTCTGGTCTCCTTGGACTGGTCCTCTGCTGCAGCAGCGCAGAGTTCAACTGATGCTAGAAGCAACAGAGCTATCTTGTGAATAGGTCTATCAAGTAGGGTGGGAGGTTTTTTGCACTGTCCCTGCTTAGCAAGCGCTGCATAGGCCATCTTTAGTCTCACTTTCCTAACTCTGCCATCAGCACTGGGGATGGTCTCCACCACTCTTGCTAAAGGCCATTGATTACGGGTCTCAGACTCACTCTCCTTGACGATGACCACATCTCCAACTTCCAGGTTTGGCTGAGGTCGTTCTCATTTCTGGCGAGTCTGCAACTCGAGAAAGAACTCTTTCCGCCATCTTTGGCAAAACTGATTAGCCAGGTATTGCACTCTCCTCCACCACTTGACAAATCTGCATGCTGGAACTTCCCTGGAGGGTGGAAGCACAACCTTAGACTTTATGGTAAGTAAGTGGTTTGGTGTCAAGGGCTCTGGAACATCAGGCGAACTGAGATTGCTGGAAGTAAGAGGTCTGGAGTTCATGATGCATTCCACTTCTGTCATGAAGGTCCGGAAGGCCTCATCAAGCTGTCCACCTGCTTGTCAAAGTAAGGGTACTAAAGCATTATAAACCATCTTGATCTGCCTCTCTCAGGCAACCCACGCGGCTAGAGTGAGAGGTGTTCATCTTGAACGGAATCTAGTCACATCCATTCTGAAGAAGATACTTCTGGACCTCTTCTTAACTCACTTCTCTCAGGGCTTCTCTCAGCTCATTCTGCACCCCCCCAAGTTGGTACCTTGGTCGCAACGGAGTTGTCTTACTGGGCCACGCCTACTCAGGAACCGACTTAGTGCATTGACGAAAGAATTTGGGCTCAAAGAGTTGGCTGTTTCCAGGTGAACACTTCGGGAGAACATGCACGTGAAAAGTACACCATATCACTTGACTTCACTTCTCCATTCTTTAATGAGGAACGGCCCAAAGTAGTCTACAGCACAGAAGGAGAATGGGGGAGATGGTAGTAGCCTGTCTTCTGGGAGGTCTGCCATCTTCTGATGCTACAGCTAGGGTACCTCACAGTCTTCTGCGAGTCACACACTTTGCTACGTAGTTGAATATTGCTGATGATCCACCAATTACCCAATACCCTCTCTGGCGCAGCTCATTATGTGTCATTCCTGTGAAAATTACGAATCAACAACTCGGTGATGTGTCCTTTACAAGGGAGAATGACTGGATGCTTCACTTCAATTGGGAGATCGGATCTAGCAATATGGCCACCAACTCGGATAATGCCATCTAAATCCAGAAATGGATCTAGTCAGAATATACAACTTGTCTTCTTCAGGCTGTCATTTCTCACCTTTGCAGCCCTTCTATCTGTGACTACTCCAATGTCTTCAATTCAGCTCTGAGGTGTTCACGTTGAACAGTTTTTATTATCTCTTTCTCAACACTCTGCAACTCAGCCACAGTGATTTCTTAATTTGCAGAAGTCGAACAAGCCTTCTTGTCATCAGGTTTCCTTGCTGCCCTGATGTTCAGCCTTGTCTTCAGTTTCAGACACAGGGCAACTCCCTGCAAGCTTTGTTCCAAGGTGAAAAATGGTCAAGTCTGCACACTTCAAAGAAATTACTTACACTGTCGTCGGCTGTGGTAGGAAAGGATGATACTCTCTTTACATCTGGGTCGGATACACTCAGTGGTGCAACTACTGCTGGTTGAGGTTGAAAGGAGCCATCCTGCAAGAAATCAGAACCGGATAACTAGCAGGACTTATCTAACAGCTCCTGTGCAGTCAGGCCACATGAGGCCTCATCAGCAGGATTCTCTTTAGTGTCTACATACATCCATCTCTCTGGATTAGTCAGACTTCTGATCTGCTGCGCTCTGTTTGCAACATAGACATGAAACCGTCTGGCCTTATTGTTGATGTAGCCTAGAACAATCTCGCTATCTGTTCAGTAGTAGTTGTTGAGCATCTCATAGCACAGCTCTTGTAGAAGGAATTCGCTCACAGTTGCTGAGACTGTTGCTGCTGCAAGTTCCAGCCGGGGTATAGTGGTGAGCTTCAGAGGGGCAACTCTCGCTCTTCCCACAACAAAGGAACAATGCGCCTTGTTGTTCCCGTTTACCAGTTGCAGTTAGGAACATATTGACCGTAGCCCTCTTGGCTTGCATCAGAAAAGGGATGCAGTTCTACTGCTGACACGACTCAAAAATCTGTGGGCTTAAAGCATCGTTTGATCTGGATCTTCTCTAAGACGAGAACCTCTAGATGCCATTTCTCCCACTGTGGTCTCAGCAAATCTGGTGCAGGACTGTGCCAGTCTAGCTTGTCACGGCTCTTCCCTCTGAGGGTTACTGGAGCTACATAGCCATTCGGGTCATAGATTGAGCTCACAGTTGAAAGTATGCCTCGTCTTGTGAACAGTCTATCCTTCAGCTCTATGTGGAACTGGAAGGTATCACTTTCAACACAACAAGAAACACCCAGGGCTATTTCCATAGGTAGTGCGTCAACTTTCAGATCTAGCTACCTGGTACCACTGGCTCGCTCTTCTGCTGGGAACTTCTCTTAGAGCTCTTGTTTGCTGGAGATGATCTTGTGCAGCATCAGCCCAGCGTTTGCACACAGATTCTGGCTTGCCTTGATAAGTGATGCTGCTTTCTCAACGGTGGGTAGTGACTTCAATCCATCGTCCACATATACATGTAAGTCATTTCGGATGAAGTTCGCTGCCTCTGTACTGAACTCATCTTCTCTGTCATCTGCTGCCCTCTTCAGCCCAAAGTTGGCGCAGCCTGGTGAGCTTGCAGCTCCAAACAAATGAACTTTCATTCTGTAGTCACCCACTGGCTTCTCTGGGTCACCATTTTCCCACCACAAGAATCGCAGCAGGTTACAGAACTTCTCTTCCACACAGAACTGATGGAACATACCTTTCACATCAACCATGAAGGACACCTCCTCCTTCCCGAATCTGCATAAGACATCGAGAAGACCTTTGTCGTGTCTGGACCTTGAAGGAGATGGTCATTCAGCGAGACACCACCATACTTCGCTGAGCAATCAAACACTACTCTTATCTTGTCTGGCTTTTTTGGGTGACAGACTCCGGTGTGTGGCACATAGTTCACCCTTCCCTCCTCAACATCAAGTTGGTCCAGGGAAACTCTCTCTGCACAGTTTGAGATGACATCTTCCATGAACCCTTGGTAGTTGTCACGGAACATTCCATTTCTCCTGAACCTTGCTGACAGTCGGTTCCATCTCTTTACAGCAAGCTGACAGTTATTGGGCAGGGTTGCAGCGTTAGACTTCAGTGGTAGCGACATTTGATAGTGTCCATCAGAAGTTTTCTTGATTCTAATTTCCATGACATTAAGAAACTTTTCATCTTCTACTGAGTATGGTTTCTCTTGATGATTTTCCACAAAGTCTGATGCCCGCACCTTCAGAACATTCTCTGGATTTAGCACTTCTTTGACCTTTGAGCCATAGACGAAGTGTCGGTTGCTCTGTGGGACAGAGGCAAGCACTTTGTTGCATACCCAGGTTGGTCATCCATTTTTCGTGCATCCTTGCACGCGTTCCCAATTACTCCCCAGCCAAGTAATGACCTCTGGCCGCAAGGGTCGTCCTCACCACCCTCAATGATTTCTCTGGGTCTGTACACTCTTGGGCAATTGCTTCCGATGAGAAGAGAGATCTGTAGGGTTGTGTCATAGGGCATGAGTTTGTCAGCTAGACACTGCAGATGGGGCCACTGATGCACAACTGCAGGCTTCGGTATCTGCGACTTCTTGGCAGGAATGCTGTCTCTCTCGAAGCATACTTGAAGTTGAACAGTGTGCTCTCTACTGACATCAAGTACCTCAAGCCCGGCTATTCTACTGCTACTGATACGGACGTTTTGTTCTTGCATTGTACTTAGCAACAACTCTGTCTGTGGGCCTTGCAGGTTCATTTTCTAGCACAGTGCTTTGGAGACAAGGCAACTGTTGGATTGTTCATCCAAGATTGCATATTCAAGGAACTCCTTTGATGGGTCTTTCTGGCTGTGAACCAGCACTGGGATGATCATTGACTGATCATGCCACCTCTCCTTCTTGGTCAGGCTGTGAACACACCTGTATGAAATCCATGCACGGTGGCAATTTTCTTGGGTGGAGTTGCAGTTGTGACTTTGTCAGCTGACTAGAAGTAGTCTCCTCTGGCTATCTCTTTAGAGAGTTGTGATGGAGACAGGTTAGATGGGCACCACTGCAGATTTGACAAACCTTTTTGTCATTACATTCTCGCACTTGATGATTACAAGTGCATGCACAGCCCATGCACAGTCGCCTCTTGAAGAAGAAAAAATTTCGCTCCTGGAAAGGCTTACGCAGAAAGTGCTCACATTCGTCCAGTAGATGGTGTTTCTTGCAGTACAAGCATGAACTTCCATCACCTGAGAACTACACTCCATTAGTTGTTCCCTCGCTCTTGCTGGACGCTCTAGTCTTGTCACTTCCACTGGTTGTAGTGGAAAAGGAACTGGTGGTCTGGCCTCTGGCATGCTTTGTCAGAGCATTACTTGCACTGGAACGTTTACATGTATCTTGACCTCGACTGATGCTCTGCAACTCCGGAATATTTGCTCAGTCTGCAGCAACCGTCACAAATTTCACAGACTGCAAAGATCAGTTTCAGAACATCCAATTCTATGTGCATCTGAAATCATCTTTCTTTAAAATTGTAAGACACAAAAGTCCCACTACATGTGTTTGTTATGCCTCCCCCTAAAAATGTACGTAAAAACTGAAACGCAACAGTTTCTTTCCAAGTAATACTCAGAAACCATTGATTTGATACTAAATTAAAGCTTGTAGTTTTTACTATTGATAATCAAAATTTCATTAGAAGCTCACGTTGTATCGTAGAGATACATGTATTTCCACAACACATTTTTGTTATGTCCAATTGAACATTAAACAGTTTCTCTTGCAAACATGTAATTGCTTGATTCAAGTCCTATACTATCATAGAGCTGTTTGGGTTCTTGACTTCTTTGAAATTTCTTTGTAGGTGTAAACCTGATGAAGCTGATGCTTAATTCAGAATTACTCAACTAATTGTGCAAGAAGTTTGTTTCAGAGGAACAAGCTTTGATTGAACTTGCACAATTTACAGTTAGTTTGTGACAAGGAGCTAATCTTATTCTAAAACATTAAACCACTTTGATCCATGTCAGGATGCTGTGTATTTACCGGTGGAAAATAAAAGATGTTTTAGCATGTAACACAACAGAATATTTTTCAGTTCAGTATCCTCATTCTGTAGGTCTTTGCAATGAATTCCCGTATTTATGAGTCTTTAATGGTGTAAATATTGCATTTAGATTGCCCCTGGTAAATCCCTTTGGACAGACCAAACAGGCAGTGTCAATCAAGATAATCTCCATCATCATTGGACTCAAACGAAGTCTTCAGTTCTGGAAAGATAACATTTAAAGCTTCAGTTCTATACTAAAGAGATTAATTTCTGACATTACTGCGATAAAAGTAATATAAATGATACTGTTGTGAAATTACTCAACATGAACTATTCATTGATTATTAGTTAATAATTATTGGTTATTTCTGGTATTAATACCTGACGGCGCGCTCTGCGATTATTAGTTTGCTCGCGTCTTCGCCACTTCAGAGTGCATTGACAGTGCACAGCTGATTTATCGCTGCGGCGCGTGCGCGCTATCAGAAATGTGTGTAAACAGTGCGCTCTTGCTTGCTTGGTCGCGCTAGCGCCCTCTTGCGGTGAGCGTGAGACACTAATGTTCGCGACGCTGCACGCTGTTTTGTTCTACCTTATGTGACTTATTAGTCAATGTTATGTGGAATGTTTTATTCTTAATTCGCAGTACAAACAAGCCAACCTGTATAGATAGCCACGCTAGATTGTAGATAGGAAGTTCGTGTTCTGACCTTGGACCATTCGGATCTGTGCCCGGAATTAAACCAGCTGTGAAGTAGGGATCAGTGTGACTGCCCTTTTATTTGCCCGTTTCGACGGCGAACCCGCGACAAATTTTTTTTTGGGGGGGGGACACTTTATAGCCCACACAAAGTTTAGAGAAGACAGAAATCACTGCAGTTTTGTGGGACTAAAAACTGACATTTTCTGGTCAGACACACCATAAGACGTACCCATAAATTGGGTAGCATGACTACAATAAGTGTATGCCATTTGAAACAAGGCAAAATAGTAATCTACTGGCAAGAAGTAATGAGTCGCAGAACACGAAGCCAAACAATATGATAAAAAGCAAGTGCAACTGCTATTGAAAACAACATGCTTAGTTTTGCGCACTTTGGTGTATGTACTAGGTCGTATACCTTCTTGTGGAATGTTGAGAGGGTTACCCAAATCTTGGTGGGATTTGTCATCTATGAAATTTGGAAGCCGACCACTCGGGCATAAAACGATTGAACTAAATGAGAATGTTTCCCGTTTATAGTTGATGGCATACCTTTTGATATGTTTCTCTAGCAAAATATAATTTATTGCACATCCAAAGTCAATGGAGTGGAATCAGGCAAAGCTGGGATGGAACGAAGCTGGGATATACGTATACATGTATATGGAAACCTCCGCTGAAAGCTTCTCACCATAATGACCACCAATTAAAGCATAGAGCCAGGAACAAAGACTACAAGAGGGAGGGGGCCTTGTGCACCCTAGGGCCCTATACATCTACCATGGAGCTATGCACGTAGCTATTATTCAAAACAACGATTCGGATATACTGAAGGCCTTCATTGACCTATCTCCATCACATGCCAGCGTGATGCGTACCTAGCTGCTAGTATGCTGCAGCTAGCTGCATGTGATCAACATGTGAATTGCACGCCGTTCATGCACGATGCAACGCATCTATAAATATTAATGTTGACAGTGTTAGCTAATAAAAAGTATGGAACGCCAGCACGATTAAAACGGCTCTTCTATCGCCGCATTTCTAACCAGATAAAGTAGGGCTTTTTAGCATTCTGCAGGGCTAGTCATATAGCAAAACCCTTAAAAGAAAGCAGGTAAATGAAAAAAATTAAAGGAGTTAATTTGTCAGTGCTTTCAAGAGTTTTAATGGTTCAGTGGTATAATTTTCTCAGAGAGGATTTATTTTTTGACAATGGCTGTCCATACTCATATCCAGGTACTAGGTGTCGTGCCCGGCGATTTTGCCGGCCATGCCCGCTGAGTGAGCGAGCCGGCAAACTGTCCAAATTGTCTGGGTAGCCTAGCATCGGCCACACATGCCTGCATCCACACAACACTGTGAGTTTCAATTGCCTTTATAATTATTTTAATTATTAATAACATTCTTGGGCCTGCTGTTGTCTAACGCAACGGGTTTTAGGGCCATGTTTGTGAAGTTGTAGAAAAGTCTGTGGGTAGCGGTACGTGGCCCGATGCCTACTGCAGTTCATTCCGTGTGAAATCTCCGATTCTAGCCTAGGCTACATGTACTTCCTAATTAATTTTTGAAAATTGTACTACATTTGAAAACGTAATACTACATGTAATAGTTAAGTTAGGCCCTAGTAGTAGGCCTACTATAACCAAACGAATTTAACCAAAATGAGTATTATGTTTTTCAAGAAAGCTGTGTGAGGAAGGTCAAGTCAAGTGAACGTCGAAGTGAATTGGGGACTCTACTATTATTATGTACAGTAGCAACGCGTGTTATTTTGGTTCCTTGGTGAAGATGGTGCATTAACAATTATTGCCTGCAGTGTAGGGGTCTATGGTGTTTTGTATAACTGAGGGGGCAAATGGCACTTGAGGCGAAGCCAAGGGTGGCTGCCCCGAAGTACCCCTAGAACTGTGGGGTCTACCCCGACAGAATGGACGTCGGACCCCCACAGTTCTGGGGGATACCCCTAAGGGTGTACAAAACCCATGGACCCATGGGTTTTGTACACCCCACTGCAGGCACCAATTGTTTGTTTTACCGTGGTCACTGATTTCACTGGAGCGGTTTTATATGTGTAATACATGTATATGCACATTTATTGCACAATTAATTAAAAAACCTTGACAAAATGAAACATGTGAACAATAATCAGACTTTTCAAAGAAAATGATTGATTGTGATGTGTTTTTTTTTGGGGGGGGGGGAGAAATCTAGGATTTATAACAAACTTGTTTAACCTAGAATCCTGGGATTCATAAAGCACTTGGGGTTGTTGACTAGTTGAATTTAAAGACATTATTTATACCAATTCCATTAGAAAGTATTGACAAGACTGAAGAGCAGACAAAAAGAGACAATGGCATGAGTGTATTATGTAAACGACAATGGCGATCGCAGCAGAAACAGTGATCAGATCATACTCATGTTCCATGAGCATAGCTGGGTGCACAAACAGAAGTTTAATAACTTGCAGGTCTCTGTCGTGGTCAAAGTGAAGAGAATAGCACATGCGAACAGACACAGTGTTTCAGTGCCCCCCACACAGAGCACATCTGCAATAATTGACGTGTCGTACCACAGCTATCCACCCTTGTACCCAAGATTACACAATTACAACGCCAGGGCTTCATTTTGAAGGAGCGTGATGGCGCTCGCGCTCCTTAATGTTTTCCAAAGAGAGCAAAAAAAGCGCTCCTTAAAAATTTAAGAAGTGCATGGTTTTTTCAAACCAGCAAATGTTGATTTATGACAAGTCCCTTGAATCTCGTTGGGTCGACAGTAACAAACGAGGCCAAGTCCCCGTAATTTGCCCGGCCAGGGCGGGGCACCCTTCTTTGTATTCCCCGGCTGGGCGTTCAAGTTGTGACCAATTCCCGCACCATCCCTGCCCCAGCATGCGGGGTTGTGTCGCAACAACCGTACTACTAAAAATAAATAACTAATAACTTTCAATAATTTCTAAAAGTCCCCTATTCTTCTGGGTCATTGCTAAGATGACATCGAGTCGGTCGCCGTAAGTGCAGGTAAAATGCCACCGAAATAAAGCAAAGCAAGGGGCAGCTGCTATAATTATCCCAAACTTTGGTGAAACATTCGTCTGAATATATCTGAAGCACCGGAATCAGGGGCCGACTACCCAAATCGCTACACTCTTTCTTTGCGGCCGCGGACGTCTCAGAATAATTATGGAAATTCATCCAATAGCATAATTTGTTACGCGCTGTGTGGAGATCAATTGACCAATTGAAACGCTCGTTATGTACATGTGGCCATGGCCAGTGACAGCCCGAGATACAATTATCAATTATCACAACAATTCATTCGTTTATTGAAGATTGATCTAGAAAACCAATGATTTGAAATGTATTGCTAAAAGACACGTGACCAGTGCTACTTGGTTGAAAGATTAAATTACATTTGTTTTAATCATTTAGCAGTCCACAGAAAGTGTCATCCGCTTTGTCTGGTTTCATCTGTCAGGGTAGCGGAAACACTTTTTATTTCATATCGAAGCTCAGTGCTATAAAATTTTACCGATGGACGGTTTAACAAATTGCACAACCCCCGCCAAGTCCCTGATATCGTGCATATATGCACCCACGCCCACCAAACCAATGTACGATGAAAGACTTCGTGACGCACCCACGCTGACATGCACGCCCACGAACATTAAGTAGATGCAGTGGATCGAGCGAGTTCGCGCACAGAGCGAGTTCGAACGGCAGCGACATCGGAGGCGGATTTTCGATAAAATTGTTTTGCAAATACGTTAACTATGGACACGTTTACCGATTCATAACCACTGCGTTGACTGATTTTTGGCATAAGGAACATTTGGACGAAATTTCAGCAAGCTCCGCCACGGTAAAAAAAAAAGTGGGAAAAATGCGATCTGCGAATTTTCGCTATGACCGGGACAAAATTTTATAACCTGGACGTTTGTCGCAATGTAATGAAGAAGTCGTCCTAGGAGATTATAAAATATTAGTGATATATTATCATAGTATATTAATATACTAGTCGGGCTTGTATATTATGTAAGTCCATGTCTACAATCCATTTCGATGCGTGCGCCTTGATCAAAAGCTAGAGCCCCTGCTACTTGACCCATTACTGATTAAAGTTAACTCATTGAACTCAGTAAAAGAAGTTCAATTGTGTTAATTTTATCGAGTATGTTTACATTAACTTGGTTTTTGTTAGCGAGAGCAAATCGCTCCCCTTAATTTACTTTGTTGATTTAAGGAGAACAATTTTTAATCGCTCTCCTTAAATCAACAAAGTGATTTAAGGAGAGCGATTTTTAGCTCTCGTGGTATTTATTAAAATGAAGCCCTGAACGCAGTAGATATGACACATCAATTGTGGGAAAGACAAATGTTATCCATCATTTTTTGTGGCCCTGCAACATCACCAATACGCATGATGCATGAATGATATATGCACGCTTGTAGCATATCCCATGATCAATTCGTGACCAATAAAAATTCACTGTCTACATGTATGTTCATGGTATAACAAACTACCGTGATTTCTCTCATGCCTTATTGTGCCCAACGCTACCATGACTTACAGTATTGCTATAAAGTGCTCCTTTACTGGTTGTTTGGTACATTGTAAATTTGCTACATAAAGTTGTTGCATATTCGTATATTTGTGTCTTTCTTCAGAAAAAAAATGCAAGATGACATGGATGAGGCATGTTCTTGCCTGTTCTCATTTGGCGTGATTTCAGACATCCAGTATGCTGATTTAGATAACCGACTCAACAGCGTTGGGACACACACCCGATACTACCGCAATGCTTTAGCTCTACTGAAGGAAGCTGTGGACTGCTGGACAGGTGACATCTTTGTCCTGCGACCAGATTTTGTCATGCAGTTGGGGGACATCATTGATGGCTTCAACAACAAGGGAGGCAAGGCACAATCACTGCTCAGCCTGGCAGCGGTTTTGGGCCAGTTCAACAGGCTGCCTTGCTTCGTCCACCATGTACTTGGCAACCATGAGTTCTACAATTTCACACGGGCTGAGCTCATGAACAGTAGGCTGTTCTCAGGGGCTGATTTTGAAATGGCTCCAAGGGATCCCAAATGCCATTGTTTTGACATCATCTGCAATGTGGAAGGGACGTCTGCATATTACCACTTCAGCCCGGCTCCTGGATTTCGATTTGTCGTCCTGGACACATTCAGTGAAAGCATCATTGGGCATGATGACATGTGTCCCATCAGCCAAGAGTCACTGCGCCTTGTGTGTTCTATCAACAAAAATGAGGATCTTGATTCCTCTGCTGGGCTGAAGATCTCAGAGAAGCGATATCTGTCTTTCAATGGTGCCCTTGGGGAGAAGCAGCTGGAGTGGTTGGAAGGTGTACTGCAGGAAGCATGCTTTGCCAAGGAAAAGATTGTTTTATTTGGTAAGACTAAGATGGTGTAGCTAAGATGGTGCAGCTAAACGTACATGTAGTGCAGAAGTGTTTAATAAGACGTGTAGGCCAGTGGTTAGGGTTTGTGACTCCTAATCACAGGTCAAGGGATCAAATCCAATGATACGTGTACGTTGTAACCTACATGTAGGCCAATGCACTTTACCCCTGCTTGCCGCTCTCCACCCAGTAGCATAGGTCAGACCTTATCAATATGTCTACTGCCTTTGTTCCTGAATCTGTGATGCCAGAATTTAGCGGTTTACTCCTCAGGAACCTGAGATGGGTTTTAGGAAAGGTTGTTGATCCAGTGAACAGGGATAATAATGACGTTGTACCTTGTGCACCAATCCTTCTGGACTGGACGTGTGGATTGTACAAAGACCATTGTTACAGCTATTTGAATTATAATAAACAACTTCCTTGAAGTGGGCAAAATTTGCTCTATGCACTAATGTTACTTACTTTGTTGCGCTTTTTTGTTTTCAGGACACGTTCCAATTTATCCAATTAATGGTGACCATGCAGATCTGTTGTGGGACTACCAAGAGGCTCTAAAGATCTTGTGTTCCTACAGATGTGTAGTTGCTGCATTTGCGGGCCACACCCATCACTTCTCGCATTGTGTGGACAAGACATCAGGGATCCATTTTGTGAACTTGCCTGGCATTGTTGAGGTCCCTCCAGGCAGCAATGGCTTTGGAACTGTTCAGGTGTTTTCAGATAGATTGTTACTCTATGGAGTCGGGCAAACGGGAAACCTTGAGATGATGTTTCCTGGATCAGTCCCTGCAGACTAAGTCCAGCAATCACTAGTAAGAGCCATTATCGAGGTAGTGCATCTCTCACACTCAAGTCAGGTGTGCTCTGAGGATATGAGGTGCAAGTATTGTTTTTCAATACCCACCTGTTAAAAGTGCAATTAGAGTCTCCTTTGCAATTGGCATGTGAAAGGGAGACTGTCTTAGCAGTGGTTTATTTTTTGAAGCCAAGGAATTCGTCCACTCTATACATTGTTCATGTAGCTAATTTCTTCTTAGAAGTGTGTTCTCGGTGAACTGAATGTTTTGATACTTAAAATCCATTCACTGACTCACCTAATCCCCCCTTGCTTGTGGTGATGAAGATTCCATGCAAATTCATGATCATGCTGGTATACTTCATCATACTTCATGGTGCATATAATATATGTATACTTAACCATATACTGAGTAGTGTAGATAATAAATATGAAAAAATTTTTAATCAAGAAACACTTGCGATATCAAAGTGTTGCTGAGTACTTTTTATGCAGTACATGTACTGCCAAATGTTGAGCAGGTTTGGTGGAAGCATTCAAACGATGGATGGCAATGCTTCTTTAATTGCATTACATTGCAAAATTTTTCTTGCTTTGCCAACTGTGAACTACCTCAATATTTTGGCAGAATGTTAACTTACTGTGTACTTCTAAATTATTTATCATATTTATTGCTTCATATTTACCGATACCCAGTACTGGGATATTTATGTGAACTAAATGATGTATATTGTCGGTGTTTCCATGAAGTGACAAAAACCTCAAAATCTTGCCGAATGGACATTCCAAGATACATAAACGCGTTTGAAAAATTATTGATTTTCTGGCTTTTTATCACTTCCTTAAAACACTATATGCATTTATCTTGTATTTGTTTTTCTAGAACTGGCGTTCTGATGGCTAAAATGAATTTTTAAAAATCCATTTTAGTACACTTTGTAATATCTCATTAATTTCATTGGAATGTGTTAGCTTTGAAACAAGCCCCATGTTAGAAAGTTGAGTTTTGGATGTGAACAGGTTGTGTAAAATGTTTTATTCAGAGTGAAAGTTGCAAAGCAGCAGATGTGTTGTTTTTGGTGCATTGTTGGAAATATTGCTAACGCACAACAGTTCCTTTTAATAAAATAATAATTTCAAAATTTTTTACTTGATATTTTTTAATTCAAGGGGAGTCAGGTTGATGCAGGTGTTCTGTCCTCACCTTCCACCTCTTCAGCCCTGGTTGCAATTCCAGCCAGAGCAATTTGTTGATTTGGTTCTCTGTCCCCGACTGATCTTGTTAGTTTTCCCAGAGAAAGTTATCTTGTGTTTTCTTTCCGTTTCAAGAAATGGAGCATTTTTCATTGTTTTATTCTCTAAGGCCTCTAGGCCTTTTATGAGGACAACAGTTTATAACTGATAGGGCTTTACCCAGGTAAAACAAATAATAAACAAATGACTGTACCATTCACTGTTACTTCTTTTACATGTATTACATACTTTGCAATAATTTATGTAGAGTACTTAAGTGTGATGCCATTTTGAACCAGGAAGTGTAGTGAAAATGAATGGGATATGCTCACGTGTTGGCTCATGTGCTGGTCCTTGTGCTAATAACTTCCTATTTAGGATACACTTGCGCAGTCCCAGAGTTATGCTACTGTCGCCAAGACATAGAATCATCCTGGGCCTCTTCAAGCCCCTGCCCAGACTCTGCCTGGCCGCTAGCCAGGCTTTGCATTACAACCTTAGATAAATGAAATAATATTCCTTCACCTCCTTCTCTTGACATTAAATTATGAAAAATAGCATTTTCCAGGCCTTAAAATTTATAAACAACTTCTTCCACAAAAACGTATTCACCTTTTTGGAAGGAAAAATATTCTGCTGAACAGCCCAAATGAATATATTTCTTATTTTATTTATCACTGTAATTACACAGTGATAAATTACAACAACTTCCCCTCCGTTCTCTCTTTGTTTTCTTGGAAAATCGTATTTCGTTAATAACAGTACACCGGCATACACTCGGGCAACCACGAATGCATTGTTGTTGAGCTACATACTGTACATGCATTAAAAACGTAATTGTTGGGCGGAAACAGAGCTGACATGCGGCGGCTTTTATTTATTTATTTATTTGGTGTTGGCCAAATGGTTAAATGGCGTATTGAAAAGTTGCCAAATGTTTATCAAATTAAACATTAATTCCGATTTTTCAAACCTGTGAAGCACAAATATGGTTGGGTTGTTTTTTTAAATGTGCAAAGGTAGGAGTATTCTTTTTGCTGGAGGTGCTTAAAATTAAAGATTAAAAATCTTTAAAAAGAGCAGCCAGTTGAGGGCTGAAATGGTAGAATAGATTTATGAAGACGATAATGCTCTGTGACAGAGAGGGATACAACTTTGTATGAAAATAATATGATTGGTAGGGCTCAAAATCCTTCCCCTAATTCTAGTACTAAGAGTGCTGACATCGTAAGCACTAATTTTTTTTCTTCAAGTTCAGTATTGGCAGGCTCCACAAGACCGAAAGAAAATGATGGCGCGATCGGCAAACCTCAGAGGCTGGAAAGATGTTTCCACTCAATAACAAACACCTCCTCTCAAAACTTTAAACAATGTATATCTTTTGTTGATAAGAAGCAAAGTATTACTTTGTGGAATACAGTGCTGAAGTGCTTTACCTCAGAGAATTAAAAAGAAATGTCTTAAGCAGAAGAGTGGCCCAACATTTAATGTTCTTCGCTGTTTGCGAATCTATGGACGGTTGTTCGAACACCATTCTTGTTTTGGGGACTTCACACTTTCCCATAGGTTTTGTGCAACCATGGAGGCCACAACATCTTGCTGTGTGCACAGACAGTGACTGGTCGGTTTTTTTTAGAGGAACGCGAGGGAACGGAACGGCCGTTCTCACGCGTGCAAAGTGGAGGTAGCTTGAACAAAAGAATCATGCGTTCCTGGCGTTCGCACGTGTGCGAACGGTCTCTGTATTTTTATCCTGTCCCTTAGCATGGAACGTAAAATATGAGTGACTTACATGCACATGTAGACGAGAAGGCTGTGCAGTAGCAGAGTGGTGGTTCACTCTGTTGTGTTTCCGCTTTCAGACGATCAGGTCACATACATGTATAGGCCCTTGCATATAAAATGTATTCTTACATAACAATTTAGCCCTGGGAAAAAATGAAATATAAAAACATGAAGAAATTTCAAATGAAAACCATGATTGATCCAGAGCATTTTGGCCCCTTGCATTTTTTATTCTTCCATGAGTAAACAGTGTGTCTCCTTAGTCTTGCCTGTTTATCTATCTCTTTTGTAATTAATGAATTTGTACAATACAGCTATTGTGTGTACTGATGTTAGTGTGTAGTAATACTATAAGCCTTATTATTGATGATGCCACACTTTATTTATGTGTGTTTTATAAATGATGCTCAATGTACTTTGAGTCCCCACTGGCTCCATTACACAAGGGACCAGAGATTGTGCTCAGAATATTAGCTTGCTGTATACTGCTGTATGTATCTTGGCAGGGGAGTACATAGACGATAGAATATCAAGCAACCCAGCCTGATGTTATGGATGTTATGGCTTCATGATCTTTTAACAGGTTGGGGACAAGTGTTTATTTTAGAACTTTGTCAAATGTCAATCATATTTTAAAAAATCTATATGAAGAATGAACTTAATTTAGATTAGTGATGAATCATCAGGATATGTTGTGTTATGTTGAAAGGGCAATTTTTGTTGGTTGGTCTTTGCGTGTTTTAGTGTATTACGCCTATTTTCGGCTGAGTGAAAGGGAAACATTTTCAAAATCTACTTTTTCAGTTTGGGTGGGAGAGAGAGCTGGGGCAAATGTTCAGATTTCAAATTTTCATTATGAAATTGGCTCATGCTTGCCCTCAACATGAAGTCTGAACTCTCAAGGGGGATAGGGCCAATGAAAGCTGCGTAGCTAGCTGTTGACAAGGGGCACAACCTCTTTCACAGGCCCAACATATTGCGTGCCACTATCATCATCTCCGACATGCATGTACGGTACATGTACCTCGTGTGATCCTCAACCCTGATCCTTGGGATGAACCTCGAAAAGCTGGACACCCAGCATGACGTAGGAACGTTATCTGGTGTCATGTTACACTTGGTGACATGCTAGCTTTTGAAATCCACTGGTGCGGCTCAAGTCTAAGATCCAAGGACTTGACAATACCTTTCCGCATTGTGATTCATCTTTATATTAGGGCCTATTTATCTAATGTGGCGCTCTATGATTTTAGCCTTTAGTGCTGCACGAGAGCAACATTTTCCCTCAAATATTTCACATTTAATTCACAACATTGGTGTCGGGCGAAACATAAAATGGGGCAACCCAAAACATAAAAACCCAATCACATGCAACATTACTATACTCATAGATATTCATGCAGGATCGCCGAACTCTCTAGTGCTTTCGTAGCGCTATCAGATATTTGGTCACTGAGAACTGTAGTAACTGGTTCACAAACGACGAGGCCGAGGAAATGCACGTGTCACGGTCGCATCGCTACCAACAAAATGAACACTCCTGAGTAACATCGCTCTTTTCAACCGATGAGGATGTGTGTGCCTCTGCCTAGGGCGTATCGTCATCAGGAACTGTTAAGCCGAAAATAAGAAAAGTGTTAGCGTGTAAGCGTATTGGTTCTTTCCTTGCTTTGACCAATGAGGCCTGGGTTCAAATCCCAGTGCATTTGGTTTCCAGTTCATACTCCCTCTCGCAGGTTCTCTCCGGGTACTTCAGTTTCCTCCTGCCTCCGTAATGTGATGCTGATTAATAAAGGTTATGATAAACGTATAGTTATTGGTGCAAATAGCCTGAGTAGCTGAAAGCGATATAAAAAAACAACGCAACAACATAGTCAACAGGGTGACCATTTTAGCAGATTTTCGGCTAAATTTTACAGATTTTTTTCAAAAAAAGTTTGTGGCAGAAAATTTAGCAGAATGAGTATTTTTAACAGATTTTTGGCAGGATTCTGAAAAATGTCGGATTCCAGCAGAAAAAGTTAGCAAATCCGATGTTTTTGAATAAGTTCGATTTTTTTCAAACAAATAATCAATTTAGTTGAATTTATGCACGACGGGACAGGTGGTGGTGTGCGATTTTTTTGTTCGTAGGTAGGTGAGTCAAAAAGTTTGAACGTCGTGTTGGAACGTCATTCACTTGACGTTCCAACTCTGGTATGAATTTTCCATCGGTCATTCCCGAGTGAACTGCTCAGATATAGAAGATCTATGTGCTGTGATAGTTTCCACGATGAATCCCTTACGGTAATATCCAATCTTACCAGTTACAGAAGTTGATTAAAGTAAATTTGGACGCTGTGAATGATTATTAAAAAAAAAACAATACGGGCGATTCACAATAGTGCGCCTCCAAGAGTTTGCAACGCGCAAATTGGCCAATCACAACGCGCAAAATCTGTCCACCCCTTCCAAAAGCGCATTGGGGTCGACAGATTTCGTGCAGGCGTGATTGGCCAACACGTTGCCAACTCTTGGAGGCGCACTATTGTGGATCGCGCGTATTGTTTGTGTATGTCAATCCAATGACTCTCAATCATTTTTTTACCCTAACAGGAGCTGATCCAAGATTTTCCCAAGGGAGAGGGGGGAGGGGCGCGTGATCAGAAATTTTCCGGGGGAGAGCTTGAGCTAAAGCAGTTTGGGTTACATGCCGCACGGTGTGGGGTCCGGAGCCACTTTGGATTGCAGTATGACCCTCTTTTTTCCCTCTTCTGCCCCTTTTTCTTCTTCTTCTTTATTTATTTTGGTTCCGGGGGGATGCGCCCCCGCCCCTGGATCCTTCCCCGCCCAGAGAGACATTACAATGTGCTTTGGGGCATTCCTGCCCCCCAAACAAAAAATCAAGTTGACTGGGATACAGAGAATATTCCTTTTTATTTTACCATACATGTACTAAATTAATAATGACAGGGGCCTGCATGAACATGATATTTTTAGTGTGGGCCTATATTCAGTTTACAACGCATGAATTCGGCATTGGGATAGAAACCTTTCTTTAATGACACAATGCCGTCAGGTTTGTGCTAAATTGCCACTGAGTCTGGCATGTACTACAGATCGGCAGAGAAATGTGAAAAACATTGGGCCATAATTTACCCTTTCCTCGTACCTGGGACATGAACATCTTCTGCAAGATGTTCCTACTAATTACCACCGTAACCTGTGGTCACTGAGTAATTGTGCTCTGAAAACGTTGAAAAATGGTGGCAGTCTTAAGTTCCACAGGTTAGCATGGGTTTGGTCACAAACTTTCGGCACGGTAAATTGGCCGCCACGTTTCCGCTAGCTTAAATGATGTATGTATCAGCAATGCCGAGAATTTTCATTCACATGACTGTTGACATTCGGCGTACACGGATGTGCGTAGAAACGCACGCACCTTCGAAGTCTCTCGACATTCTTCTGGCGTACATGAAACTGCCAAAATAGACTAACCGATTAAACACCATAACTGCGGTGGCATAATTGATCTCCATTATTAAGTCTTTATAATGGAGATTAGTGGGTGGTACCGCACCCACACCCTCATTCTTCGGCTTGATGCACGCGTGCATTTTGCAAATTACGATACCCTATTGGCGGAAGAGGCATGTAACGCGCCCGTACCACCGTCCACGAGCGTTGCGCCACTGCAGTAATGATTTCTAATTCTGGTTGTAGAATTACACCATAGAAATACTCAGATTTGAAAATGCACGTGCATCCACGAACATGGTACGCTTCCTGAAATGACATTTCCCGTTCATCTTACGTCACTTGAAAAACTTCCAGCAGCCTGGAAACTAAACCCAAGGTTATTTCATGGACGTCAGTGATTTTCACCCTGGAGCTATATACAAAAACAATATGGCTCCATGCTTTTACCCCTGTCCTTACTTTTTTGTTCCACAGAGAAAGTCTATGGGCGGTCAAAAGAGTCAAAATTAATCCAAATGTAAAATTAACACTGGAGCCGATAAGAAAACATAGTTCACAGAAATTAATATTAAACATCAAGAAACGTATGAAAAAAAGTTTTCTAATTTTGACCCTTTTGTCCGCCCATAAAAGTCTGCGACATCCACGGCATGATCCCTCTGTGAATAGACCTCCCTCTCCGTGCAGCCCCATTCATATGCCATTTGTTCAATCCAAACACGATACATAGAAGATTAAACAAACAAACGTAGCATTATGTGCAAAATACACAAGCGTATTAAGACCATGACGAAAACATTTTAGCCTTTTCCGCTCTGGCCCTTAGACGCCCAGGCAAAAGAGTCGGTCAAAAAGGGTTTTTTTCAGTCACGTCCTAAATACGCCTCCGTACCAAAGTGGTGCGAGGAACTGCATTTTGCCATTTTGCGCCTGGCATAGACCTCTGTCCGTTCTACGCGCTTTTATAACACAAAATTTCATTGGCCACTGGATATCACCAAAGGCAAAATCTCATGGTTTGCTCCAATCACAGAGCTTAAGACGAACCGCGTTATTGTCAAATTCCAAAACAGCGCGGGCGACAAACTAGTTTGCCGCAGAACATGGAGGAATAAAATCTCCATGCGCAGACTAGACGTAGTGTATGCTTTAGCCTTGGCCCCAATTCTATTACTGCCTAGTATTACTTGAATAGTTCTGCTCATTCATGTACTTGTACATGTAGTGATGTACTATGTCTACGTGAATCATCTTCACGAAGAAGGGTAAGTAATGCAAGTCGTTAAAAATTATGTAGGCCCAGGCCCTATGTAAATCGTGCAGGCTACCTAGGCCAAGGCTTCGAGAACTCAAAGACAAAGTCACCTGGCCACTACTCCATGTGACTTTGAGCCAACACGGTTTACATGGTGTCTTAACGCTGGTCGTAGTATCATTAGACATGGCCTATGGGCATGACATGCATGATGGGGTTTTGAAAAAGGCTCTGCCAGGTTCAGGTAGTCAGGTAGTTGTAGGCCTACCCGAGAAAACCTAGTTCTACCTGTATATCGAACATCCGGGTTCGCATGATGTATTTTGTAGAATTTAACCAATAGGCCTATTAGTCTATTGTCCATTCACATATGTGATGCATGTGAATGGTGGTTTCAAAAAGCATGTGTAGGTGTCTCAGAGTCTGCTCATCGGCTTAGTACAGACCTCGGAGGATATGTGGAACTGCGTGAGTTGTGAACTTTCAACATTTTCTGACGCGTTCGTTGAGAACCGAGTAGATGTTAGTGGAGACTTGGTTGGGGCTGACTCCTGGCAGTTTGAAGGATCTGCACCATTGGACATGTTAGAGGGGAACCATCAGCATTCTATGAAGGGAAATTTACATTGCCTATTGATCAACTGTATTAGAGGAAAAGTTGCTGATCTACAAGTCCTCATAAAGGTGCATCAACCTGATATTATTTGTGGTACAGAGTCATGACTTAATTCAACTATTGAGAGCAGTGAAATGTTCCTATTTAACTACAAAGTCTTTAGGAAGGATAGAGTCTACACCACAGGAGGGGAGGGGAGGGATGTTTCAGGCAATTTCAACCGAGTTGGTGTCAAATGTATGTTCCAACATGGATAGTAACTGTGATGTTATATGGAGAGAAACCAACAATTGCAAATCCAAACTTTAGCAGTTGTGATTGGAACATATTATCGACTGCCAGTTGACAAACTTGGTCAAGAAATTGATGAGCTGACAAAATCTGTGGCTTTACTTAAAGAGAAAATAAACTCTAATGTTGTTATTTTGGGAGATTTTAACCTGCCAAACATAGACTGGAATAATTACACTGTTACAGGATCACAAGGCTATACATATAGCAAGATGGCTGGAGATAAGCTCATAGGATCACAAGGCTACAGCAAGATGGCTGGAGATAAGCTTATTAAGATGGGTACTGAATATGTCTTCAAGCAATGTGTTAAAGAGCCGACTCTGTCACAGGGAGATGCACGTAACATCCTTGTTCTTCTTGTGAATAACCAGGCTGTAATTAAGAACATTGAGATTGTGGAAGGAATTTCTGACATGATTTTAGTTGACTTCGATATAGCTCTAAAGAGGAAGAAGCAACTCAGGAGGAAAGTTTGTTTGAGGCAAAAAGCAAACACAGAAGGGTTAGTAAATGACATTAAGGCCTGTCAGTCATTCTACAATGCTGCAACAGAAGGTAAATTACCAGATTTTCAATGGAAGCACATCTAACAGGTATTGCTTGATCTTTTGGAAAAGCATGAACCCCACAAGTTTACATCAAATAGATATAATCTACCATGGTTCAGTAATAATCTTTAAAGAGAATACAGAAGAAAAAGATGTCTCTACAGGAAAGCAAACAAGGGAAGTAAGGAAGAAGATTGCCAAACCTTCAAACAATCTCGCAAGGCTACGAAATTTCAACTCCACAGGGCAAGAACTCAGTATATAAATTCATACATTGTACCTCTGAGAAAATTTTAAGGCAAATCCCAAAACGTTCTGGTCCTTCATAAAGAAGATTCTGATGTGGAAGATGATGAAAATAAGCGACAGCAAAGCAAAAGCCAACTTATTAAATCAGCAATTTCAGAGTGTCTTTATAAACAAAGTTCAAGCAACAACAGATGTCATGGTTCATGGAGATGTATGTCCTGGAATCTCCCTGTTGCACGTTTCTGTTAAGGGTGTCGAAAAACAACTTAAGGAACTTATTCCATGTAAAGCACTGGGGCCAGATAATATTCCACCATCGTTGTTAAAACTTATTGCAGAACCACTAGCACCTGTTCTCCAAGACCTGTTTCAAAATTCAGTGAATACTGAGATAATACCATCAGCATGGAAGACAGCAAATGTTACTGCAGTCTTCAAGAAAGGGGCACGTTCAGATCCTGCAAATTACCGTCCCCTGTAAAGTTCTCGAACATATAGTCTTTAATAATGAAGCATCTTGACAGATATAACATTCTCACGGGCTGCCAACATGGTTTCCGGTCCAGAAGATTAACAGAAACTCAACTTATTACAACCTTGCATGACATAGGCAGATTAATTGACAACAAGCAAACAGTTGATGTAGCAGTACTTGACTTTATGAAGGCTTTCGATAAAGTCCCATATAATCGTCTGCTAAATAAATTAAGACACTAGGGCATTGTAGGACTGTTGCATCAGTGGTTTCCTGTCCGGACGAACACAAAGGGTAGTTGTCAGGCTTCAGATTTTGTACCAGTAACATCTGGAGTCCCCCAAGGATCAGCGATTGGCCTGTTGTTATTCTTGCTGTATATAAACGATCTTCCAGATAACCTTACTTCAGCGGTTTGTCTCTTAGCTGACGACTGTCTTTTGTATAGTATGGATAAGGTCCAGTTACAACAAGACCTTCACCAACTAGAAAAATGGCAATCAAACTGGCGAATGAAATTCAATCCATCCAAATGTTACACCGTAGGGCATCAGGGTACCGATCAAAACCATCTATAATTTTTGCGGTGAAATTTTAAGCTGTGTGAACAGTCTAAAATATCTTGGGATTCACATTACTAATAATATGTCATGGAGGAAACACATGTCTGAAACCTGCAAGAAATCTCAGAGAGTATGAAATATCCTGAGGAGGAACCTTTGGAGCTGCACCCTAAAAGTCAAAGAAACAGCGCACTTCACACTGGTTCGACCATTGGTGGAATATTCGTCATCTGCCAGGGATCCCCACTTGGTGTCTGACATTCAGTGTCTTGAACAGATTCAAAGACAAGCTGCTAGATTCATTTCCAACAACTATAGTAGAGCACCTGGCTCTGTGACAAACATACTCAAGGAATTGGCTGGTCATCCCTTGAGATAAGACGGGAAGCCAACAGGTTATCCATGATGTTCAAGATAATCAATAGGTGGGTCGATGTTCAGTCTGATGGTATCCTCACTCCAAATGTTAGAATCTCCAGGGGTCATACAAAAAAACAATTGCAAATCCGTTCTCATACCAAGGTTTTTTAACAATACCTTCTTTCCCTGAACAGCTAGGGATTGGAATAACATGCCACGATCTGTGGTCAGCATTCAAGGAGGCAATCAGGTGATATTTTCATTGAAGGGCTGTTTTAATTTGGCGTCAATCTCCCCACACGAGGCGTAAACCTAATACAGTTGTTGTGATGTGTCCCCTGGATGCTTTGCCGACTATCTACCATCCTCACCTCTCAGTCTCATCTCTCGACGATCCGTACACATCTGCATTTTCTTACGGTTGCACAACACCAAACACGCGCCAAAGAAAACAGTGCAAAATTGGACCGAAATAGTGCCACCTGTTGACTCTCATGAAGAGGTTGGCCTCCGTTTTTTCTCTTGAAATTCAAGATAATGGCCAGCAGATCACTTTTCATTTCAATTTTATGGGGGTTAGCTACCCCAGAACAGTGGGGTCGAGCGTCCGCTCAGCTCCCACGAACCCCACATAAAATGAGCCTTTTTCGCCATAGGCTCTACATGACGTTTAACATGGCACGAAAAGGGATTCTATTTTAGTTGTGTACCCATAGAAATACTGATCCATTTCCCCCAAGATTTCTCTGTATGGTAGCTTACATCCCTTTGTTCTGAGTACCAAGAAAAAATGGGCCAAAACTATGCCGTTTTCCAAAAAGGTGCAAATATTTCCCAATCACTGTCCGAGAGTCACGCAGTTCACATGTGCACTTGCAAAAATGAGCCGTGACCAAATGGTTTACTACGGCTGCGATCAATATACAAGATATGGCAATTGGCTGCGGCCGCTTTCCGTACCTGTGTATGTAATTCTTAGCCGCAGCTGGAGTGAATGGTTGAAATGGCAGTTGGCTGCGGCGCTCTGGGGGTCACACTGACCAATCACAGGGCTCCTCATTATTTATGCACGTAAGCGCGCTGTCGCACTGTGAACACTTTTCTGTTGAGGCCACACGTGGATGCGAACAAAGATCAGTATTATATCCAGACTTGTGGTCCTTGCCAAGGATAACAAGTAAAGTTGTCCATTGAGACAAGTTGTCTACTCAGCCAAGTCATCTGTTAAGATGTGTGAAATACGATAAATTCAAATTGTTTAGTACTGACTTCACACTAGGCCTTTCACGCTTTTGAAACTTTGTTCAATGTAATGTCAATAGTCCAAGATGAAAACCAATCTGGCATCTGGTAATTGGGCAGGTGTTTGGCCAAAGCATTGCCTGAGAAGGGAGGATGGCATACTGTCGCACCGTCCCTCCCTGTGAAAGCTATGGCACCCAGCGTGCCTTCCTCCATACTACATGTATGTCAGTGAAGAGTTGCAGCGTCACGCAATGCCAAACACATAGTATAGTTAAAATACTTGCACCCACGCTGACCTGGCCATATACATGTACAGTATTTGTATTATCTAACATGGTCCTGGTCCTGTGCTGAAGTTGTCTTAATGGATGACTCTGCAAATGGTTGAGTTGTCCCAAGCGGTCGCATTGTCTCAACGGTTAAGTTGTGCGAGGTCAATTTGGCAAATGGTTGAGTTATTCGACATCCTGTAGTAGAGTCCCCTAACATGGCGCATCTTGACTTTCACTTGACGTGACTTGACTGCTCACTTGAGCAGCAGAAATCTTACAACCATTCAAAAAGGAAATTATTCATTAAAAAATTAAAAGAATAGAAATTTTCAACAGGACAAGAGGATTGTCTCTTAAATCTTGCTAATTTGTGGTGGGAGATACTCCTAGATGTGAGAAGCTATTAAAGTGATAATAATGTACAATTATGTGCATTATTGCAACTGATTTGTATATGGTTTATTCATCAACAATCTGCTGGTCCGTATGACCGAATATTTGATAAAATTGAAAGTTGAGTATTCAAATAATGAATTATTCAATTTGAATCAGCCTTAACTCTGATTGGTCAAGAGTCTGTGTGCATGCACCAAGCGGAACTTGCCAAGCGTGTGTCAAGTCCTTATGTATACGGAGATTCTTTTGTACTCCTTGCACAAGGAATATACCATCAAATGGATGGGGGGTGTTTAGGGAAATGGGAATGAAATTCCTGAACAGAATCTTTGGAAATTCATTGTACATTGATTTCCTTTGACTCTCTGACTAAAATGGTATAGTTTGTGTCTGGGGGAAAACAAAATGTGTTTAGTCGGTCTTAAACTGACATTTAAGACCAGCTTAGGAGAATGAACACCGATAATGCCCATGCCCATGGTTCAGGCATTAGTTGAATCCATTCTCCTGAACTGGTCTTAAACCCATGTTTAATAGAGGCCAAGTACATACATATATTTATTCCCTTACTGAATGAAAATCCTCCATTCATGCCATTTGTGTTTCAACTTTCATTCTCCGTATCCCCTTTTATAAATGTTGGTGTGTACACAGACAAAGCCCTTTTGTTTAATTTTGATGAGCTTCAAAGCAATCAGGGTATATATTAGCCACATACAGAAAGGGGAACATCAAGTTTCCTGCATGAACTCGCAGAAAAAGTTGTTCAAGAGTTTGATATTTAGGATCACTTCCAATAAGACTTGCATGACGGCTTTACTCCCGAACATGTGCGTTGTCATTACAGTGACCCACTGTGCTGTAGTTTTCATCCGTGCTTTGCTATTGACTGGTTCCCACTTCTTGCAGTGTTATTCGCACAAGTAAATTTTCAGCGGCAAGCACCAGTGTTCCATAAAAAATAGAAACAAAGAAATGTGATTGCCTAAGGTTTCAGTGTGGGGGAAGTTTTCATTTTAATTGCCAATTTAATCACATGTATCTCAAAGGGTTTCAAAGGGCCCAAGGGTTATTTTACTACAGGTACAATGTACATGTACATATTCAAAACAGACGGTCCATGGGCATTTCATCTGGACACAGGTGACAGGTTATTTCAAACCTTGCATTTGTGTGTTGTGTGTAGTCCCTATTAGTTTTTGTTCCCAGAGAAAATCATGTGATGAAACCCCTTTCTGAAGTGATTCTTTGCTTATCCTGTTCAGGAAGTGTTGCCAAACCATGTACATGTAGCACAAATGAAACGGAATTATGTTGCATTCTCAGGTGTTGAATAATTCATGATGGAGGAGATACTTGCGAGCATTGAGCAGCAGCTGTGCTCCTTTCATATCCTCGATGAAAATGTTGGAGTTGATGGTGGGCGCAGCCAATCAGATGACAACGATGACAGCTCCTTCCATGCTGGCCAAGCGTTTGAGTCCTTGATCAAAATGAATGGGAAGCCCATCCCACCTCCTGTGGTAAGACACCCACAGCATCAGTTTATTCTGTTTATGGCAGTTACAGTAGATTCCTGTTACAGCAGTTTAAGAAAGTCTAAACTTGTTTAACTTATTTGAGTGCTACATATATCTGAGTTTTTCTGTCTGTTAGCCTTTATATCTGTCAAAAGCATTTTTTTCTTTGCTGGAGAAAAGTATGGTTGAGTTGTAAGGAGGACCAACCACATTTCTCATTTTTTGCTAGTAGATTTTCAGGTTTTTAGAATTTGCGTTCCGAGTGTTAAAACTCCATTTTCTGCAGTCATAAATTTACATTTTACTTTGACGAATCTCACGGCATCCCAAAAGGGGACAAGTGAAAACTTCCAATTCCTATTAGCCAAAAGTGATGTGATGCTCAGTTTTCTCATTTTCTACTGGTAAATGTATATGTTTTTGAAGTTGGGACGTCCGTTTTCAAAAACTTAATTTTCTGCCTGCAGAAATTTGGATTCCATTTCTATGAATCTCCCCCATCAGCTTTTATCTTATCTGCTTTGAAGATCAGATGAACGGATAGAAATGCCACCACCCCATATATGGGCAGACTGTGAGGGCTGGAAAGTTTTGCAGTACAATAAAGGAAGTCCTATTGGGTGTGTTTGTAACAGTTTCTAAAGAAATCTTCCATAATTTCCTGGGTTGGGTGTAATATCATTTTGGGATGTCAATTTTGTGAAGACTGTTAGATTTTGAATGTAAGGGCGCAACGTTCATTTCAAGTTTCTAGTTGGTCAGTTCTTGGGCAAAAACTCTGACATACTTTCAATCCCCCATAGGAAAAGTTACCAGTATTTAAGTTTAAGAAACATTGCGGTAAGAGAATTGGAAAATTTCTTTGTAAATCACCGACGAACAGTTACCACTGTTGTATGTATGTATGTTCCTTGTAGATTAAGCATATGTAAGCAATAAACAATAAGAAATGTTTCAGAGAGTAAATTTAGGGTTTACAATTTGAGCAGAAAAACTTACACACTGTCCTCCTTGAATGACATTACAGTAACAGTATCCTCAGTTAATCCGGGAAGGCATGACAAAGTTGAAATGTGTACAAAAGTGAGTTTTTCAATGCATTTAACCTAATAAGGATGCCAAATTATGTCATACATTAAAGAAAAGTATAAAGCTGTAGAAACTAGTGCCTTACAAAAATTCATCAAGTTAACTTAAAGGTCCCAAAACTTAGTGTTGAATTACGGCTCATGAGAGTTCCAAAAACCTGAACGCCAAACATTTAAACAGACCTTGGTTTAGTGGACAATACGTGTAGCAATATGAAATCATTATAATGGTTCCCTGACCTTACATTCGTGGTCCAGCGTTTGATAACATTTTCATGGAACCAACAATTTTCCAGAGTGATACACACATGCCCATTGGACATGCACATGGACATTTCTGCATTTGCAGGATTTTGCATTTTTTAATTCATGGCTTTGTGGAATTTTTAAGTGAAGTACATGTTTAAAAGTCCAAAATTGCACTTGGCCTGAATATCAATCTCCTGAATATGAGGTTACATCAACGATGTAAGCATGGAACCAGGCAAAGAGTTGTGACAGTAAAAGTTTTCACATCCCAAGAAACACTTCAAGCTCAGTCACCTTGCTTTTATGCCAGAATGTTATTTAACAGGGAATTGGTCATAATAACCCATATAATGTCTAATGTGGCAACTTCTCTTTGCATTTATAAGAACTCATCATTTGGGAGGGGGGTTCAGTTCCACTGGGAGAATGCTCAGAGTAAAAAAAATGTGTCAATGAGGGCGGCAAGCAAATCTAGCGATTTGATGACATCATAATAAGGCTCTTGTTCCCCCAGATTTTCTTGACCTTGCAGCCATAATAGGGGGCTTTATGGCACACGAACAAAGAGAAGAGAGGTAAAGTAAGTTACTTGTAGTTGTCATTCTCAGCAAATGACTCGGCCATCTGCCTGAAAGTCATCTTGACCTCACTCCAGTTCAAATTGGGACAGTTTAACTTTATCATACGATCCAGTGTTGACATCACCTTGGCTTGTCTGATCAACATGATTGATGTAAAAGCAATTCCAAGTCACTCTCATTGCCCGACCTCTTTTAAATCACAGTTAAGTTCAAGCAAGCACAATGCACACCCACACAGGCACATTCACCTCAAAATAATGCAACAGTCGTGTAATTGCAGAGCCATGGTGTGACATCATCAAAACAGGCTTCTATTTGATGCTCCTGTCGACTTTTGTTTTCCTTTTGCCTGATATGAGTAACACTTGTTACATCCTAAGAAACACTTCAAGCTCAGTCGCATTGCTTTTATGTCAACATGTTATTTAACAAGGAACTGGTCATTATTACCCATTTAATGACTAATGTGACAGCTTCTCTTCGCATTTATAAAAATCATCACACAGGCATTTGCCCCCAAAATGATTCCACAGCTGTAAAATTGCAGAGCCATGGTGTGACATCATCAAAACAGGCTTCTATTTGATGCTCCTGTCTACTTTTGTTTTCATTTTGCCTGATATGAAGGAGAACTTCAACTCATGCTTTCGACGTCAGTAGCAATTTTTATTTATTTTTTTACATGATACCAGTAGATTGTTTTAAATAGAACTAATATCATAAAAAGTGACCGATCTTTCACATAGTCAGTACCATGTGTGTGTGAAAGCAAAGCGTATCAGGTCCGGTTCAAGGTCCAATATTCACCACCATACTAAAGACATGGTGGCTGTAACTGGTCAACAAGAACAGGGAGAAAAAAATTGATCCTAAATTTATAGAATGGCCCGGTGCAAAAGGAGGGGGGGGGGAATCTTACACTGACTTGTCTCAGATCTGGTGTCTGTGTTTTTCTTTTTTCTCAGATGACAAAACAGAAGCGGCTAGAAATGAGAGCACTGCGGGGCAAAGCCGTCGAGATAGAACAGGAACTTGCCAATCAGAGACGGCTAAAGTTATTAGAGAAGGTGCAGACTATTGTTAGCAGAATAGAGGTGAGACTTGGAGAGTGTACTCAGTCATTTGGCTTCAACTATTTTGTAGAAATTATTGCTTTCTGTGGAATTTACATGTGCACCATTTGTCTGAAACATCGCCTTTGTATCCTTGAGGCTGTTCCAGCAATAGGTGGTTGGTTTTGCTGTTTTGTTCATTCTAAAAGTGAAAATCATTTGTAGCTTTGCACCCCCAAGAATTTGAGAAGAGAGGAGACATGCTATATTTTTTCCATAAACCCTAATTTTTAAGGTAGTAATCAATAGACTTGCTCATTTTGTTTCTTGACCCTGTTTTCCTAACGTGATTACTGAAAGGCGCCATAACTATAGCACAGGAGTTGTCTGTTTGTGGCATTTTTGTAGGAGAGGAGATCTACGAGTCAAGCCAGCCAAGTGGATGTTAACCCTATCTCAGTGGAGCCGGAAGACAGTCGCTCACCCAATCCAGCTAATCTCTTGCAAGCTCTTGACAATCCAACAGATACAAATTCTGAGACAGTAAATCATACCAGCTCTATTGGACACCCAAATCAAAACTCATCCTGGACGACTCTTGACCCAAGAATACCTCACCTAGTCACGAGCCTTACTGCTGGTATATCCAGTGCACAAGGATCCACTAGTAGCAGCAGTGATGTAAGTCTGCTCAATCAGACAGTTGTTGCAGCTTCAGACTTTAGTCCCAAAGATCAAGAAGGTTCCGGCGGTACACCAATTGATTCAACACAAGACAAGAGTCACACTTTAGAAGACACACTGCCTAATCATTTGATTCTGGAAGACTCATTGGTTCCTTGTATTAGTCTGCCTCTGCCAGGAAGTAACATTTCGAAATCAGACTCCAGTTTTCAAATCCCTCTGGGCAAATCTCCAGAAACAAGTCCGCCCAAAACTGACAAAGATGAAGCCAATTTTCAACTGCCCAACAATGTGCCAGTTGGAATTTCTAAAGCAATTGGGTCAACAGCAAGTGTAAAATTAGCCTGTTCATGGAACCAAGACAAGCAGCAAATGCTGGAGCCAGAACTATGCCAAGATGAAATTCCAGCTGTTCCACGGTTCCAGCTGATGCCAAGTCTGATGAGACTTCATCAAGATGATGAAGATGACTTGGAACCTTTTGGAGAAAGAGAGACTTACCTCAGTCTCCTTGGGGAATATTCCTCCTTGCCAATGCCCGGAGGATCCTCTCATTTCTTCTCTGATGTCTCTGTAGTCCCGTCCTCTACTCCACTGGAAAACCCCAGCCCCATCATGATTGAAAAACTATCAGAAGATTGTTGGCAGAATCTCTCAAAGGAAAACTCTGGTGATGTTGCTTTTCCAAATGAAGAAGAGTCATCAGTGTTCCTGTCCATAAGCTCAACTTTGCAGACAAACAGTGCAGGTCTTTCATGCACTTTGCCTTCGAATCTTAGGACAATTAGTGCAGCATCCACCCTTCAAGATGTTGATGATCCCTGGAATACACTGACCGAGACCCCTTTACCTACTTGTGAAGACTTTCACCTTAACCCAGATATCAGTGCACCCAGAGGGACTCCAGTGGGTCAGGAAGACGGTGGAAGTAATCCTGTTTCTGTCACCAAAAGTGCCAAGGCTTCTGTGGACAGCACAGGTAATGAGACTGGATTTTTTTCACCTGAGAAACGGGTCCGAAGGAACTCATACACCCTAGACCACCCCTCACCAGCCTTGCTGAGTGCACAGGCGAGGAATGAAGCACCACATGCCAGTGTGGAAAAGAAAAATGCTGGATCATCAGCAAGGAGAAGTCTCGAACTAAACAAGGACACCCAAATAAATATCAACGGAAATTCTCATGAAGCTGGGATTGACACTGTTAAACCTGGAGTTCAAAAGACTCGTCCAACTGAAGGTACAAATTTAGCAATAAATCCATCACTTTCAACGCATGAAGTTCTTCACCGTGTTTTTCGAATAGACCAAAATTGATTAAAATGGCCTTTGAAATGTTTATTTTGGCTCATAATGTAGCAGGTGTAGCAATCAAAACTGCAATTTTCAAAGCATTGTGGAAGGATTAAAATAACAGTGTTATAGTCTGTTTGAATTTTAAGTGATTGGTAAGTTTCATAATTTTTTAAACCAAGAATCTGACTTTTAAGCTCAAAATGATGTCAGTGTACTATTGAGTTAGTGTTAGATTTATGGGTATTAAATTTAGAATTTGTAGAGGAAAAGGTCCTACACCAGCAGCTGCAGTACTTTGAGGAGATGCGGCTTCACCTGGAGCAGCAGCAGAGACAGCAGCTGCAGCAACTTCTAATGGAGCAGCAGCAGGCACAGATGGCACTGCAGCAGGAGATGGTCCAGCTTGAGAGACGCTTGCAACAGCAGCAACAGCAGCAACACCAGCAGGATACAGCGGAGGGCAAGGAGGACAGGAGGGCAGGGAGTAGGGAGGATAGGGCTGGGAGACCCAGAGAAGGGGCCGAGACTAAGGGAAAGGGTAAGTAGTCAAAATTAAAACCGTAGGTTAGGGACGGGATCAAAAATACAGAGACCATTCGCATGCATGCAAATGCCAGGAACGCATTCTTTTGTTCAAGCTACCTCCGCTTTGCTCGCGTAAGAACGGCCGTTCCGTTCCCTCGCGTTCCTCTACAGCAAAAGACCTGTCATGGTCTGTGCACATAGCAAGATGTTGTGGCCCCCATGGTGGCACAAAACCTATGCGAAGAAAATGTGAAGTCCCCAAAACAAGAATGGTGTTATAACAACCGTCCATGGGTAGGAAATAAAATTCTCGGTGAACAGCAAACGGCGGGGAAAATTAAATGTTGGGCCACTCTTCTGCTAAAGACATTTCTTTTTAATTCTCTGAATTAGAGCACTTCAGCACTGCATTCCACAAAGTAATACTTTGCTTCTTATCAACTAAAGATATACATTGTAAAAAGTTTTGAGAGGAGGTGTTTGTTATTGTGTAGAAACATCTTTCCAGCCTCTGAGGTTTGCGGATCGCGCCATTAATTTCTTTCTGTATTGTGGAGCCTGCCAATACTGAACTTGAAGAAGAAACATTAGTGCTTACGATGTCAGCACTCTTCGTACTAGAATTAGGGGAAGGATTTTGAGCCCTACCAATCACATTATTTTCATACAAGGTTGTATCCCTCTCTGTCACAGAGCATTATCGTCTTCACAAATCTATTCTACCATTTCAGAGTTTTGTCACTGAGATCTAGGCAAAAACATTTCAGCCCCCAGTTGGCTGCTCTTTTTAAAGATTTTTAATCTTTAATTTTAAGCACCTCCAGCAAAGAGAATACTCCTACCTTTGCACATTTAAAAAAACAATCCAACCATATTTGTGCTTCACAGGTTTGAAGAATCGGAATTAATGTTTAATTTGATAAACGTTTGGCAACTTTTCAATTTGCCATTGAACCATTTGGCCAACACTCAAAAAAAAAATAAATACATAAATAAAGCCGCGGCATGTCAGCTCTGTTTCCGCCCAACAATTGCGTTTTTAATGCATGTACAGTATGTAGCTCAACAAGAATGCATTTGTGGTTGTCTGAGTGTATGCCGGTGTGCTGTTATTAACGACATACGATTTTCCAAGAAAACAGAGAGAACGAAGGGGAAGTTGTTGTAATTTATCACTGTGTCATTATAAGAAATATATTCATTTGGGCTGTTCAGCAGAATATTTTTCCTTCCAAAAAGGTGAATACGTTTTTGTGGAAGAAGTTGTTTATAAATTTTAAGGCCTGGAAAATGCAATTTTTCATAATTTAATGTCAAGAGAAGGAGGTGAAGGAACGTTATTTAATTTATCCAAGGCTGTACAACAAAGTCTGGCTAGCAAGGGCTTGAAGGGACCCAAGATTTCCCATGGTGATACTCTTTCTTGGCAACAGTGGCATAACTCTGGGACTGCACAAGCGTATCCTACCAATGGCTGCTTTACTTGCTAAGAATCAACTTAGTAATTGGCTGAGGATTTACCTTCAATGTATCTGCCCCCAAGTCTTCCTACAAAGAGCGGGCATCTTCAAAGACAGCCCCAAATACTTAAAAGATACATTGTGTGTAATGGAACGATAGAGCTGCCAATCACTTCTCAGAAGATTTATTTTCCTGCAGAGCTTTGATTTATTCTAGAAGTTTTATCTTCCGGATTTGCCGAGCCACTTTCAAATAATCAGTTAGCCCCAAGGTATTTCTTGGGGTATTGGCGTCTAAGTCAATTAAAAATCATAACATTAAGTATTAAAACAGCCAAATTTTTTTTGTTCAATGTTTAGAATGGTACTTAAGGGTCTGACAAGACTGACCAGCTCTAAGCCTGAGTTATCGAGAGTTCCTGAAGTGTCGACTTTTGCAGTATCTTTGAAAATAAAAATTAACCCAGATTGCGTCAATTGAGCTTTGTGAAACCTTCAACAGGTAGTTCCGTTTAAATGTCTTGGAAAATCTCTCTAACGGATTTAATTTGTTTCGTTGAATCGGTTAAATATTTAAACTTCCGACCCTTACTGTCATGGAAAAGTTTTCATCCAGACATATCCAAAACAGCTCGCAGTCGGAGGCAATAACGTGGATGACGAATGCAAGCGGTCTGTTGTCCGCCTAATGTCATTTCCTTTTTTACCCGAAAATGCAGCTGTGCACCTCGTATAGATGGGGGAAATCATGGAATGGTCGGTAATGGTATTTTAGATACCATACAATGGTCAATTGCTTTGAGGAAAAAAGGAAATTTTAAAAAGGTATTTATTAAGACCCATTTTTATGGGATGAATTCACTGGCCTTTCATTAATGTTCAGACCAAGAGAAAAATAAAAGTAGCAAGGGAAGAAAATCAGGAGAGTATTCCAAATGAAGTCTTTGAGGAGCTTTCATCCAACCAAAGATTGACAGCTGACTGACCGTCATGTATACAAATTAGTCCAGTAGACTTGGTTGCATCTTCTGATTGACAGCCCGCCTTGGCATTTCTTTTCCTAACACCCAACCTGCCAAATATATTAATATTTCCCTCCTTGGCATTTTCTATCCTAACCTAGATCACATGTGGTTTTTATTATTTTTCACTATTACAACCGCCCAATTACTTTATTCAGAGCACCCCACCCGCCAAAAATATAAATTCTTTCCCCCCTCGGCATTTCTTTAAGGTTTTAATTTCTTTCTGCACCATGTCTCTTTTTTTATTTGGAGCAGCCAACCCGCCAATAATATTAATTCTTCCCTCCTCGGCATTTCTTTTCTATCCAAAGCTAGACCATGTGTGGTTTTAAAATTTTCCCAGCACCTCTGCATTGTTTTATTCGGAGCACCCAACCCGCCAATAATATCAATTCTTCCTTCCTATCCTCAGCATTCTCTATCCACACCTTGACCACTTGTTTTTTTTTTTCCCTGGCACCGCTGCATTTTTTTCGGAGCATCCATTCCAAACCATCAAATATATTCCTTCTTTCCTCCTCAACATTTTTTTTATCCAAACCTTGACTACAAGGGTTTTTATTAAGAATGTATAAAATGTGGGAAGTCGGTATATCAAAGGGACAGAATGAGAGTTTATAAGAGGGAAGAAAAAACATCTTATCTGACCAAACACTGCTGACACTTATTGAGCCAAGGCTCAAGAACAGCTTGTATGCATGTTTTTGTATCTTTGTTGTGACCCTGCCGTTCTCGCAAGCGCAGGAACGGCCAATTAACATAACAATACTCTCTGAATCATGCAAGCAAACAGGCAGGAATGCGTTCCGAGATGCTCTTTGGAACGGGATGAACAGGAGGGCGTGCAGAATGGAAGGGAACGCGTGCAAACGGTCTCTGTATTTTTGATCCTGTCCCTAGGAAAACCACCACACAACGGTATAAGTCAGAATTTTAGCCGACACGCAAACACGCTTAGCGTGTCAGTGTATATCGAGTCTAAGAGACACGAAAGGAGTTCACTGCAAACATGAAACACGCTGACCCCTGCATAACAGAGAACACCGAGCACAAGCCCTGTCGAGAAAATGAGGTCCGGGGTCGGGACTATCGTGCACCGGACCAGCAACGCACAGTAAAAACCTCAAAGTGTGCATTGAACAGCGTGGCAGGTTCACTGATAGTGTTAGCATGTCGGCTAAAATTCTGTACTGTAGCTTGTAGATTTTGAACCGATGTAGGTTTTTGGAATGTCCTTATTGTACTGAAAGTATACATGTGGCTGTGTTTTTGATTTGAGCTGCTTTATCAAGTAGGTGAAAGAACCTGCAGATTTGTATTTCAACACTTCTTGTCTTTCAACAGTTTTCGCAACATCAGTTTCACCAGCAAGTGTCAGTTCAAACAAGTCAACACCCAAGTCCTCTCAGAAGACACCATCACCAGTTATCGCCTCAAAACAAACCAGTCCCTCCTCTCTGAATAAAGTGGTCTCTCCCGCAGTCAAGCCTGCGAGCACTGTAGGAAGTGGTGTGCGGGCTGAGCCATTCTACTTGGGAGGGGATCCCAGCAGGTTTGATGGAGGGGCATCTGTTGGTCCAGTGACGGCAAGATCACCTGGTGTGGGAGAGAACATTAGTACCCAGGAACAAATCAGTCTTCTCAAGGTAGACATTTGTTAAACCTCCATAAAACATGCATGTATTTTGAATTGATAGTTTGCAAATGCTATGATGACTCTTGTTGTAGCCATCTTGGTGGATTCAGACTGTTGCAGGATGCTGCTACCGATGCTGTCCAGAAAAATGACAAGCCTCTTTGCATCAAAGGAAGCACATATCCTGACTAAAAGTTTTACAGACAAACAATTATGAATTCCAGCTACAGAATTGGTTGACAGTGCTTTCCAAAACTTAGAATACTTGTTTCTATGGCAACACACACCATTTTTGTTGAAACCTCCAAAATGTTGCAAAATCAGCATGACCATAGCCCCTCCACTTCCTATCCTGTCACCCTTTCCTTGTATGTACGCTTCTATTAAAACTGATCTGTTTGTGAAAGGATGTACATGTACCATTTTTTTCAACAGCAGATTAATTCACCTACAATGTGCAAGAAACTTGATAAGATCTCGGCTGCAGCCAAAGGGTACCTGACAAGAAGAGTGTTCAAGACTCAACAAGTGCAGTCAATCATTAAGACTATCAAGGTAAAACTGAGAAATGCTTGTTCATTCTAATTTATTGATGCGGAGCGCTGGTTCTTAGTCTGACATCATACATGTACAGAGTACAGAGTGCTGCCTAATCCGTGCCGCATTGTTTCAGAAACATACTCATTTTTCCTAAAAACAATTTAAGGCCATTTTGAAATGGTGTTTGTTATTACTGTTATTCATTCATCCTTCAATCAGAGTTGGAATCTACTCATCAAATTTAGCATATAACCGTTTCTCAAAATTGTATTAACCCCTGCTGAGTTTTGTATTTTCCCCTAACCATTGAACAGGACTCGGTAGCTTTTGCTGACAAGTTTATCTCAGAGACGCCCATCAAAAAAGGTGGCATGTCCATGCAGGACATGGCATTAGCGGAGCGTGTCCTTGCTCAGGTGAGAGTTAGTTTTCAATTAAAACTTCTCAAGGCTTACATAATACTTGTTGTAAAAGTCAACTTACGAAGGGTTAAGATAACAAACAAGCTCCTTCCAGAATTCAGTTGGGCATTTTTTGGGGGGGGGATTTACTGCAATTGGAGTGAAAACTGTAACAAGTGGAATTATCATAAGAGTTCTAATAATTGGGATTGCAGTGTTCCATTAGCAGTCTCCTAGTCTGACACTTACGATTTTAGAGTACTTGTCAAAAGTCATGAAACTCATGCATGCCAAGTGGCCAAGGATAAAGCCTTAAGTAGAAAGGCTTATTGTAGTACCATGCGAAGGAATATATCTCTTATGAGTATGTGTGGTTCTGAAAAGAACCGAGAGTATGCTCAACATTTCGGACTGCATGCTCAGTCTTTCACCAATGATTAGCCTGAAATTCCAACAACGATAAAGCCTGTAGACACAGTGCTGGCAACAACAGAAATACTTCAAACCAATGAAAAAGCTATCAGGGATCATGCAAAGAAGGTATATACAGCTCTTTATTTGTGAATTTTGTGGCTATTGACTACAATAACAATCATTGATGGATGTGACCCAACCTAACATATGAGTCACTAGTTGCCTCAGCTTCTGGAGTAAAAGGCCTTTACAAATATCTTGCAGAGTGTAAATTAATAGTAACTGTCAATCTTTTTTGTCTCTGGTAATGTAAGTCTTAACCACTTGCTGCCGGATGGATCTTTCTAGAGCAAGACAAGATGCTGGCTCGTTTTCAGGATTTTTTCCGTTTTCAAAATTCTTTAAAAATTCATCATTTCATTTAATGGCTGTTTATACCAAAATGAAGGACTCTTTGGGCACTATTCTAAAGCTGAGAGGTAAAATTCATTGACTCCTGAATATTTCAGCCAGGACTGCAGCCTTGGAAAAAGAGCCCAGATTGTGCGGTGTTACGTAATATTCTTTTGTTCCTGAAACCGGCACAGTGCACTGCTGACCTCTTTTCAATACGGGCCAGATTAGCGTGCAGCGGTGCTGTGTGGCTCATCGCTGCAGTGGTGGAGCGCTTTTGTCCCAGTGGTAATCCGCTCACTCTAAATGCCTCAAAGCGTGGTATACTGTTTCAAAACAAGGCTGGATTTTCTCCACTATCTAGAGCGAAAAAATGTCGGTAATGCCCAGCAGCTCAGTCTTTTGTGCTGAGCACGGTCTTTTATTATACGGCCCAACTCTTTTGTCCCAGTTCCGGGCACCCCGGCTCTGCATATAAAGCCTATGTACTTGAAAATGGGTCACTCAGCAGGAAGGGGTTAATCAGGGTGCCAAGCTTGATGATGTGTGGAAATGAAAAGCCCTGTTTTCTTCATCTAATACTTGAAAGTGAAACTAACTTATAAGAAAAAAAAAAGAGGTTTGGATGCATTTCGTGTGATCTAGTCACAGATATGGGTGTGGCGTAATATAAAGCCAGATTGTTTAGTTGGTGGAACAGCAGTACAATATTCCAGATGTCACAGGTTTGATTTCTTCCAGCTCATGCCATGTCAGGTGTCGTTTGTCACTGAATTCTCTTGCCTTTTATCTCAGGTCAGGGCTGCCCAGTATGACCTCTATGACATTTTCTTCACACTACCCATAGCTGACAGAATGAGCCTGATTGAGAAGTCCAAGAGATTGATCGTAGAGGGAGGACAGACCAAAAAGGTAACAGTTTTGAAAGTAGCTCATCACAAGAAGTGTATCCTTTCAGAGGAGGAACAAAGAGGGTGTGTTTTGAAATGAAATTGACAGGCTGTAGGTATGAACTCACCACAAAGTCACACAAGTTCATTTGCGTTTGGTGTGGGGTACGCGGAGTATGCGCAACGGTTTATCATGTGTACGCTGAACGCTTGCAAGAACCCAGTTGCAAGGCTTCATACCTGTCTGTCTTTCTTTCGCCAGTGAGGGTGCACTTAAAACTCAGGGTGGATAGTGGTAGTATGTCAGGGCTGTGAAGACAGAGTTCAAATTGAAGTTGCAAAGGAGTCATGAGTTGTCACACTGCAACTTTTGTAAATAGGGTGTGCTTCAAATGTGCTTTGTGTAGCCAGTGAAGTCTACCTTGTTTCCTATCTAAGGAAAAAATCAAAAGAGGACATATCAAGTGGAGGGCCTAACAATTTGTAAATAAATGCACAGAAACTCATGATGTCTTTCATGTACAAATCAGAGAGATATACCAGAGCGTGAGCATGCCTTGTGCTCAAATTTCTTGCCTTCAATTACAATACGAACGATTCACAATAGTGAGCCTCCAAAAGTTTTCAACGCGTTGACCAATCAAAATGCGTAAAATCTGTCAACCCAATGCGCGTTTGGAAAGGATCGACAGATATTGCACAATGTGATTGGTCAACGTGTTGCAAACTCTTGGAGGTGCACTGTTGTGAATTGACCATATTAAGTTGTGCATTTCAACAGCTGAAGGCATAAACGTAATTATGTTCGAAGTGTATACCCAAAAGTGCTTTACATGGGCTTTATTGATAACTGGCTTGCCAGGTTATCAGAAATTTGCAAGCTAAAATTTGTGGAGAAGTGAACAGTAAATCTTTGAATGGAATGACCTGTAACCTGCAGGTATCTCCCGAGGGAGACACAAAGGTTCCATCCCAGCCACTATCATCAGCTACAGTCAAGGCCTTGGAGAGAAAGAAGAAGGCCAGGGAGGCTGAGGCCAGACTATTTGGAGACATGAAATCAGTGTCTAAGGCAGGAGTTCCATCCTCCAGAAGCCGGCCTGTCAGTGTTGCTGAGGGCAGGTAAGTATCAGAGCACCATCACTGCTGTGTCAGTTCTGCTTAAAAAGAAACTTTACACTCCAACTTTTTTTTTTTGAGTTCTGTTTGCCCAGTTGGTGTCAGTAGGAACCCTCAAAATGTTCACCTCTGCAATGCCTATTTTCATCCGGATCCCAACTGAGTGTTATATTACACAAAGAGCTCAGTTTGCTCTTTCTGATGGAAACTAAAACATAGTTATTACCAAAAATGGGCTTAAGAGTCCGTTTGGTTATCTGGTCTCATACTTTGTTCAACTCTGCTTACTTTTATAACCGCCAAATGAGTGAGTTATCAGAACTTTCGGGTTGAAGTGTGTTATAATGTGTACTTTTTTCATTTATGATGCCTGATATTTTCTGACGCCTGATTGTGATGTTGATTTGATGCTACCTTGTGAAACAAATATATGGGTGAGGTATTCTCTGTAGTCACAAAAAAAGTGGTTTATGTACAAATAGCAGGCTTTGATATCAACCAGCTGCATATCACTTCAACTGCTGCCCGCCAAAAAACGTCGTTAAGCCAACTGAAATGTCAGAATGCCCTTTTGCCAGGCACAAAGACGCTTTGCTTCATCATAAACATGAAGACGCATTTGAAAATAAAGGTCTAGAAACACCCATACAATGTCAGTGAAACTGAGAATAACGGTGCCTGTGACACGAAAGAGCACCAAATAAATGTTATCAGAAAGAAATTGTATTTTATTTGCCTTGAATAAATGCTGTTCCCTTCGTACTTTACTGGGAACCTTGACCAAAAAGCACTAACACAAAAATAGTGAGAAGCGTGTTTCAAGGCAGAAGTAAAATCCACCTTTGTCTTTACTTCCACAGAATCCTAAAGCCATTACTTAGTCAACGGTCCCCAGCTAGGCCAGCTAGTACAAACACATACAGGTGAGGGGTTACCACTTAAACCCAAACATGGTACTGTATTATCAATAATTTGTAATGGGAAGTGATTAAGTCAGTTGTATGTCTTAAAGTGTTGAAACTGGGATGTGTTTGAAAAGACAGGTTATTCTCTTAGATTCAAACAGGAAAACCTTCGAAGGAACTTTTTCTTTTAGGGAAAAATCAAGTTAAATTTTTTCAGGTTGTGATTTACCACTGGAAGTGGGAGGATCTTTCACAATGATCTAGCCGCATTCATGGGAAAAATTTGAATCTTCCTTAAAATAGAATGAATGTGAAAAGGTGTACTTTTGCTTTCTCAGACCGTCCAGCTATGGTCTAGTCATCAGTCAGGATCTGCAAAAATCCAAAGATATAAAGAAATTGACCCATGACCCCGGGAGGCCAAAGTTCACTGCCCAGAAGGCACCAGGCAATGTGATACAGGGTGTGAGAGCGATGAAGACACGGTCTCCGGTGGCAGTTAAGACCAAAGGCGTGCGGAGGTCACTGTATCCCATCACCAATCCAGCCAAGAAAGTTTCCCGGAGGACAGTGGACGTCAAAAAATAAAACATCAGTTTGAGTCAGGTATCTCCAGAGATGAACCTAGTGGACCTAGTGGCTGGACTCTACCTTCTTGAATCCTGCACATCTTCCAGCATTGCTTGATGGATGTTGAAGAGTCTTAAAGGCATGCAGTCATCCATGCCAAAGAAACACTCTGCTGGAAAAGCTTTTCGGAGGAAGATGTTTTGAATTTTTGAAACACCATGGTGGAAATGGTGTTCTTGTCAGGAATATAGTAGGAAATATTCATCAATGAGGACCCACAGAATCACTCCTAAGGCCATACTCTTGTTAGTAATTTTGGCCCAGTTAACATGGGAAATAGCAAACTGACCTCTTTGATTGTCTCAATTTGGTTTACTGATGAAATGGCTTGTTCCCTTGGAACTGTCCATGTGAGGGCTTGACATATTACATTATACCACTTTTGATAAGTGTTTCAAGTTTGGAGACAAATCTTGATAAAAATCTTAGACTAGTGTTGGTAGTTAAACGTAGAAATGGTTTGGCAAAAAAGGAGGTATCCCGCCTATTGTTGATCTCTTGATTCACCCTTCTAGCTCATGTTTGAATTCATGTCTTTCAACCCTGTATTGTATGTTACATGTACATCAAGTAAGTTAAGTGTGGACAACTTTATGCAAATTTCTGATTAAGCAATAATACACATATTTCATACTTTTTGTATTCTATTTATGTGCAATGTAAAAGTTGTTTGGCTTTAAAATTGTTGAAATGTTTGATGTGCATTAAATGGAGAAGTGTTATATCAGTGAGTTAATTATAAAGTGAAATGTGTGGATTAGTTAAAAACCCGCCCTTTGCAATTAGCATATTGGACAATGCTGCCCTTTCAGTGAGCATTTAATGCACTGGCTGTTCTTAACCATTAGGGATTCTATTCCTGTATAAGCCAGATTGGGTGTGCCTGCTTGGGTGTACATGTATGTGTGTTGAAGCATGTTCTCAGCGTCATGCATAGCCACTGTGATGGGTGTACCAGCTCCAAAGGCTTGTCAGTCAACTTGTTATTTCACTGAACTTTTCACAGTGCTTCTATCAGATGTGTTCTCGCTGTTGGTGACTAGTGTGGGTTGGAAGCACAGCTAGGGAAGTGGAATAGATTTTCATGACTGTGTATGTTAATATTTGTGTTCTATGCAAATTCTTTCTGCATAATGATGTGGATACAGGCACTGTATCTATCAAGCAGTGATTGCTGTGCCTAAGCATGCTGATTTTTTTCTTCTTTTACAAGGTGCTTGTAAAAACCCTATTTTATAGCTTCCAAAATGAAACTTTTCAGCAGCTTTGTTGAAGTTAAAAAACTTAGATTTATTAATTTGAGAAATGTATGTCAATTATTTGCCAGTTTTCATTTGTTACAGCATTTTGTTTTTTTGCAGTTGACATTTGTAGTGGAGCTCTTTTATACAAATCTCAGTGAATGTTTGTAATTCGGAATCAGATTTGGATCCTAAGTTAATGATCAGATGTTTTAAATACAAGAACCTGGACTTTATTTAACAACATGTGTCCTTTATCTCCCCCAACTTTCAAGATCTGCAATCGGTGTGAAATAGAAAACATCAGAGTATTGTCTCCAGTACAATCATGTTATATTGTATACAAACCTGCTGAAAGCTCAGAATGTAGTGCATGTTTTGAGCATGGAAATTTGCTTATTTGTGTTTAATGGTCCTCTTTTTGCATCAAAGTTTGTACGTGCCAAACAGTGAGGAATGTCCTATTTATTTTCATATCATTCACTGGTAACTTAGTTTGTGCAGGAATTCCACCATTGGGTTTCATTATCTAACCTGTTAACCTTGCAAAAAGGAAATGCAGTGCATGTTTGAATTAACAATATTTTATTTGGCCATTTTAAGGTAATGTTAAGTTATGCTGAAGTGTAACGCTTTCTTGTGAAGACAGTTTTATTTATCCAAATGAAGTTTGCACTCTTTCAAGAGATTCTGGAGCCACCAATGTATTTTACACTAACACAGTTCCATTTCATGGAGCTACTTTATTTACTGCATTGAAATTTAAGGCAGTGTTTTGCCAAATAATTGCGGATGCATGGCTGCAGAATTAATAATCAGTAAACCTTGTTTTCAATGAAACTTGTCATTTTGTTAGTTGACAGTTTATTTGAAAACTAATATGGAATAGTTTCAATTAAAAAAGCACCATCTTTGTGTTAATGTTAGAGCATTTTGTGGCACATGGACTGGATAATTTGTAAAGAAGGAGGGAATCTACCAGTAGGACTGCCAGCTTATATTTCTGAAAGAATCGGACCAAATGGGGCACTCAAACTTTTCCTACTATGCAATGCAGTGAAGGCATCAATTTTCAAAAATTGCGGTGGGCCTCATGAAGGTTTTGAGGGGCGATTTTCTCTGGAGAGAAATATCTTCAGAAGTCTTCAGCCACTGAAAATTGAAAGGAAAATAAATGGTGAACAAGTGAAGTTAAATTTGATATGTGTCTTGAGCACCTGAGAAACTTGGGTTATTTATCACATGGCAGCTTATTTACTGCTTTTGGTCCGCAACCTGAAGTGCCACAGTACAGTAGGATGTTAATTTAATAGAGGGCGGTGTTGATACCTACATGTAGTGGGCGGATATCGATAACATACGTGTTTTTATAGACCTCTCGTACCTGGACGAATTCGTTTCTTCTGCGAGCGAAGTCTGGCAGCAACCAGACTAAGTTAATTTCAAAGCAGATGCGCTGTATATGCGTGCACTGCACATTATCACGGCGTCCCTGGTGACACGGCCTTTTCTACCTCGGGGCTTCTGTGCCAGTAAAAATCCCCCAAGTAGATACAAATTATTACAATGGCATCTGATGATCTTCAAGCTATTGTTAAAGAATTCCAGACCAAAGTGAAAGTCGAAGAAAAGCCTTTAGAACTTGGTAAGAGCTAAATTAATATAATAACCAGGTCATTTATCCGTGATCTCGTCCGAGTAACTTGGACATGTTGGAGATCAGCAACTTGGAAAAGTGTGACGTCATTAGCGATTCGGGGGAACACAAGCCTTATCGCTAATGCTGCCATCTCGAGTAATTTTGCACAATGGTAATAAAAGGCATCATGGCAAGGAAAAAGGAGCAAACATTGCCCTTTTCCTATCCCACAATCAGTGACAATGCCTTTCTACATACAGCTGTGCAAAATCAGCCATGCGGTTATTAGCAATAAGGCTTATTATTGCCAAATTTTGTTACTTGGTAAATGTGTGCATTGTTAATTTGGCCCCACCTAATCCCCATAGATGGACTGCATGAGGGTTCCAGAAGCTTGCTGTGTGACATTTTACCCTCAGGCTCTTTCTTCTTCAACATTTTTTCAACCTTTTACAACCCAGTCTTCATACTGGCCTTACTGATTATGACTAGTGTGGTTCCCTGACCAAAGATTTCCTGATGCGCCTTGATAGAATCTTGACAGGAATAGTTGGAATCCCTAGGTCTGGTAATGGTATCCAGAGTAATATTGAGCGTGCATTACGCAGCGTCTGTTTTGGTGATGTGATGTGAGAGTGAAACCAAAAGCTCTGATTTTTGAAAAAAAAATTGGGTTACACAGTCCAAAGACCATCTAGGGCTGCAGTTTAATATATGTAGTCTATAGGGATCAACCGATGTAGGTTTTAACCGCCAATCCGACGTCTGATGTTTTAATCGGAACATTGGCCAATGTCCGATCTAATCCAATGTTTTTACCGACAATAACTGAAATGTTACCTTAACAAGATGAAGGCCTACTAACAACACAAAACCAGTGTACTCCCTTAAAATGTCGATTTACACATTACTGATAATAGGATTAGGTTTTGCCTTCAGGCTTTACAATTACTGTTGAGAGAATAAATCATGTAAAATGTGTACACCGATTGCCGCTGCGTATGACGTAGATGTTGTAACCGATTACACAAACCCGGCCCACGTGGTACATGCAGAATACACACAGCTCCTCGGGCTAAATCCTGGGCTACATGTACCTTTCGACTGGTCACATAGCACCTTGTGCGCGATGCCCCACACGGTGTAGTTCCTGGGCTGTTTTAATGGCTGTCAATGTACATGTACACATGCAGACTGACTGCTCCATGGGGCCGCTGCCTGTGCATTGAGTTGTTGTGTTTAATTTTTTTTATGCTTGAACATTTTGAAATGCAAAATGGTGCACCCTCAAGCGATTAAAAAGGAATGATCGTGTGGTCAAACAGGAAAACCCCAGGCCTGGCTGGCCCTGGCTAAGCAAAGCAAGCACAGGGCTGTGCGCTTCGTGCCGCGGTGTGCACCAAATGGAAGAATTATCGCCAAAAAATACACAGTTTTGGTGGTTTATGTTTTATTTATCAGTAGAATAGATAATTTTACATTTAAAAAATGGAATCTCAGCAAACTAATGATTTTTAGCAGAAATTTATTCTTGGATAAACACGTATGGAAATCACTTATAATGTCTCCAATAGCAACCACCGGGGAAATTAGGGTAACGTCTATGTGTACGTCTATGTGTGGCAAAGACTCAGGAACTTTTGTTACCTGGAAATATGAATAACTCGAATTTTTTAGCCATTCCCCTGAGGTTTGAGTTCTCTAGAGTTTACTGTACTCATGTTTGCAAGTGCAGACTGCCAGACATCGAAATTGTGATAAAAGTTCCATGTTACTACAGCATTCTATCCAAATGGATAATGTTCATCTTTTCATTCAACTCAGAAGGGAAGTATGAACCTGTTACATCAGAGCCAATATGTCAACCACTGAAGACCATGGAGGATGTCCTCTCTTGGAAACCAGAAGGTGATGAATTCAACATCCCTATCGCTAAATTGGCTGCAAGGGTGGAGCCCAGGGAAGCCCGCCCTCGGACGCTTGTGTGTCATGACATGATGGGAGGTTATATAGATGACAGGTCAGTGGAATTCAAATCACTTGCTATTTTCACAGACACTGTATGAATCTTTTGAATAGGATGATTGCAAAATTTCATCTGAAACAAATGGCAGGAAACAAAAAAATTAAATTACCCTTGGCAGTTAAATTTTAAGGTATATGTATATCATCATAGTCACGTTTCACCATCTTGACCCAATTTAAAATTAGCTCTGAATCAAGAGGCAGTTCAGAGGAGTCAGCATTAGCACCTTTTAAAATTTGCTTTACTCCATCTTGACCCCTCAAAATTCTGACTTTTTGGGGAGGCAGATAACAGTCCCCAGTTGTAATGTGTATCACATTGAACTGCCAAGAGCTAGAACTTTGAAGCAGAGTGTTGATTAACCACTTCCTGACGGGCGACCCATTTTCGAGGAGCTGGGCTTAATACACGAAGACGGGGAGCCGGTTTCCGGACAAAAGATTTGGGCCTTGTAACAAAAGACCATGCAAAAGACTGGCGCAAAAGACTGAGCTGCTGGGTATTACTGACATTTTTCACTCTTAATAATGGATATAATCCAGCGTTGTTTTGAAACCTTATACCAGGATTTGGTGCATTTAGAGTTAGCGGATTACCACCGGGGACAAAAGCTCTCCACTACCACAGTGATGAGCCACACAGCACCACTGCATGCTAATCTGGCCTGATTGAAAACAGGGCAGTAGCGCACTGTGGCACGTTCATGAACAAAAGAAGGTTTCATGACACTTCACAATCTGGGCTCTTTTTTACAAGGCTGCAGACCTGGCTAAAATACTCGGGCGTCAGTGGAGGTCACTTGTCAGCTTGAGTAGTGCCCCAAGATTACATGTTGGTATAACCGTCCGTTAAATGATATGATGAATTGTTGAAGAATTTTGAAAATGGAAATCTCGAAAAATGACCCGGCATTATCCACTGCATTTTTTCAAAGCACCTGGCAGCAAGTGGTTAAAGTTAGACATTGTCACATTGATACATCAGCAGTCCACATTTGGTCAGTTACCATTTGTCAACTATTAGTAAATTTTGTTTGGGTAAGCAGAATATATGCATAGGTTACCAGGCAAAATTGAATGTTGTCATTGATGACACTTGGCCTAAGGTGCAGACAGCGACTAGTTGACTCAGTGATGATGTGGTGTGACAAAAGCACCATCCTGAACTTCACCACATTGACTTATAGGCATTGCGTGTGTTTCACCATCATTAGGTTAAATTGTAGGTGCAATGAATTTTTGTTAGACACAAATTTCCTTCAATTTTGTATTCTTCTCCAGCTTATGAAAAGTCTTTTCCAGTGGTATTTGGTTAAATGCATTGAAAAGTGCACTTAAAATAATAAAAATCATTGATGCTTTCCTGGATAACTGAGGGCGTTGTGGCAGTGAAGTCATCTAGGGAAGACATAGTTCAAAGTGCATAGGCTTTTCTGTTTGAATTGTGACCCAGAATTGACTTACTGAAAATTTTTCTGAGAAAGGGATACACTTGCTTATTGCTATGCACATAAACAACAATGAATCAGCAAAGAAGAGAAAACTGAGTCCAGCAAATTCTACAAAAATGGAGGACTTTTGTAACATCAAGGCTTCTTTCTGGAATGACTGCACAGTTTTTCTTATTAATACGGAAATACTTATTAGCATAAAAACTGAAAAGGTGAAATGCCCTTTGAAATAGTGAAACAGAAGTTGAAATAAGGATAACTAAGACATAGGGATGTGATTTTTCTGATTTTTTTCCCCGGAATTTCGGTTTTTTGGGCCTCAAAAGTCGACCCTCATGAATCGCATGAATCCATTGAGAAAATGGGAGGGGGGTACAATATACTAATTAAATATTCATATCGCATTCGCATGCATGCTAAATAATGAATGGGAAAATGAACTCACTTGTAATTGTGTATGCAGTTTACTCTGTCTTTTTGAGGGTCAGACTATTTTTCAAATGGCATTTCACCTCGTACATCTGGGTGATATTAAGAGTATACTTGTATACATGTACATGTGTGTACTGTTTGCATTCCTCACACATCCTTGTGCTTGAGAACGAGGTTTTACAAGGCTGGTATTTCGCGTGCATTTTACATGAACAAAAAGTGAAACCTGGCGCTCGCATTGGGCCAAGCTGCATTGTACGTACGCACGGTGTATATCATACACACACTTATGACTACACACTCACACGTGAGAACACACATAGCGAAATTTGTATCCTTGTGGAGACATGGCTTTGTTTTCCAGTAGTAATTCGGTCACGTGTGAAACAAGGTTTTCACATTTTCAATATGAATCACTCTCCTGGACTTAAATAATGACAGAATGTCCCTTATATGAAACACTTCAATTTGCGACATTAAACACATTAAAAATTTCTCCTTTTCAGCAATGTCCAAATATCAATTTCGTGAAATCCTTGTGGAGACCTATACACATCTAGAAATTCCTTGTGGAGACCTATTCAACCCATTCTCCTTGGTCTCCACAAGGCACCCTATTTCAGCACAGTGGCATGCTCCATTGGCTGCAGGCTGTTCCCATAGAGACACGTTCTCCATGTCAGTGTGTGTGTCGGTGTGTATAGTACAGTTTACATTGTGGTGTGCGTAAATCCACGTTGTATTCTGGGCTCGATACGAGCACCATACTACTGGGCTTTATGTAGTCTAGTTCCTACAGATGTTGAATATGGTATCAGTAACGTAATTCACTTGTTTGAGGATCAGACTAAAATAATCCCTCAATGATCCGCACACATCTGCATTCTCTTGTGGCCGGATGTCACCTTAAGGTAATCTTAACAAGAGTAGTCCGAATTATCGGGAATGGTATCCAAAGCAACATAAACATACATGACACGAATACACTGCGTCTGTTTTTGTCACATGATGTATGGCCACAAGAGAATGCAGATGTGGAGGTGAGGATGGTAGAAAAAACCAATTTGCCAATAATATAGATTAAATGCTACAAAATACACCAGTTCGATGTAGGTAGAACTTCAATATAAGGGTCTTTACAGGAAGATTTGCTTTTGCAAGCACAAACTGGCACAGGTGTTTTATCTGGTACAATCACCTGACATTTGCAGGGCACTTTTCAAAATGCCATAGCATACGGAACCATAAAAAAGATGGACCCAGAAAGGCCTACGGAGAAGTACCTTACTGTTTAGGAAGTAATCAAATACGCGGCCAGCGGAAAAAAAGCCCTCATATTGGACGTCAAACTCTCCAAGCATATAAAGTACTGTATCCTAGGATCACATGAAGTAAGTGTTCTGACTTGTTACCAGTGCTCTCGAGACATAATTTTCAATGTCACAAGTGCCTTTGAGACAGAAATAAACACTAAAAGAGTGAATGAAACAATGAGCGGTGTATTATTAATTAAGTCCTGCTTTGTTTTAGGGGAACACATTATGTGCAAGTAAAAATGACTTCAAAAAGTTCACATTTTTCTTGAGATTGAAATGCTTCAACAAAATGAAATTAGAAATGTTAATGTTTGATTTATCCACAATTGCTAAAATTACAATACAAAGTTAACTTCATAGGGGGCACTAATTTCAAAATCTTTTTGCTTAAAACATGCCCCAGAGAGGCTTAGAATGCACCTCAGAGCGTCTAGATTAAAAGATTTTCCAGGTCCCTTAAGCGGGCCCCAGACCCAACACTGTACTGTCTTCACATTCAAAGTTTCATTGTTTCCTCCAATCCTCCAATCACATCCCTGGACAGAAAGGTAAAGTGATGAACAATCATGTGTCACCACCTTGACCTGATGGTGATACTTGATGACAGCACCCAAGCACTATTCACCAACCTAGTCTTTTCTACCTTATTTTGTTTGGCAGGTTTGTGCAAGGTGTCCCCAAGACCGATTGTTACCGTTTTTATCACTGGCAGTATCTGGATATGTTCATGTATTTCAGTCATTATTTTGTGACTGTTCCCCCACCGGGCTGGACCAATGCAGCTCATAAGAATGGAGTTCCCATGCTAGGTAAATAATCAGACAGTTATTTTCATATATTAAGAGAACTGTCAATTTAGGCACTTCCATTTAGCATTAAAAATACATTGTTTTTAACATCTATTTTTTTCCTTGATGTTAACATTACAGCCTTTTATTGCTGTTTTTCCAAGCTTTCGCACTGGACTTTTTTTGGGCAAACTTACCAAGATGATGGGTACTTTTCCCATTTTAAGTCCAGTGCAGACGTCCCCAGAAGACTTCCTCTCAGTTACTTTTCCCGAGCTGCGCGGAAATTTTACTGGCCAACTTCTGGCCAAGAAGAATTCCCGAGACACTTTTCCCAAGAGAGAAAGTCCAGTGCGGACAGTGCGAGTCGGTGAAAACGGCTCAGGGAAGCGTATATCCGGTTTACTGGCAAGGTCAGGCTCACACGAACCCCGTGCATGTGTGTTGCGAGCGTCCACATGACGTACATAAACGTACACACCACGGGGCTTAATTCTGGTTGCCCTGCAGCGAATTTGTGTTCTCGAGTCTCTCGAATGATGGCAGATGTTATTACTGAAATAATCGGAAGTTAAATTGGGGCCACCAATGGATCATTTGAAGAACTGTCACGACTGGAAATTTGTAAAAGGTGTGCTTGTGGTTGGGTCCAAGGTTGAACACGAAAGGTCACGCAAAGTGCCCTCAAGTGGCATTATAACATGTATAGTGACAGCTCGGTTACTTTTCCCACGCGTCTCGGTAAAAATCCCTGCTTTGAAAGTCCAAGTGCGGACGGTGGTAAAATTTGCCCATTTTTCATTTTCCCATCGGCTCGGTAAAATCCTCGGAAAATAAAGTCCATTGTAGACAGGGCTTTAGTCTATTTGTAAGCATTTGGAAACAATATTAGTCATAATGTGACCTTGTCATTGGAATCTGCCATTTTGGAATGTGGCATAGCATATATGCACATATACACATAGTGAACATTGAAATGACCAGTAAAGATTTATTACAACAGTTTGCATGTAATACTGCTCTAATTGGGACATCGGAATTCAAACCACAATGTATATCTCCAGTACAGTCAAGTGTGGTATTACTTTACTCATGATTGTTTGCTACTCAGGCACGGTGATCACAGAATGGACGGATGGTTTCCAGCGATGTGAGCAGGCATTTGCCTCAGAGGCTTCCTACAAGGCCCTTGCAGACAAACTGGTAGCCATTGCTAAATACTACAAGTTTGACGGATGGTTGATCAACATTGAAAACAAGATTTTGGTTCGTATGTTTTTTTCATTTGACTTTGACATTTACGAATGGCTTTAAAAAAATGACAAGGGTATTAAAACCAGAAGAACCACTTCCTAAAATGAACTGACTGAATGACAACCACCTTTTTGCACAATTCCTCCGGAGACAAATCAACTTTGAAATTGCAGAGTTAATTGATTTTTACATCTTTATATCTATAGTAGCACTGTTTTTGCATTTTCTACATTTCGGAAACACATTTTTAGTCACAATTTTAAAACCAGGAGATTAAATACCAAATATTACAGTAAGAAAATTATAATTACAGTTTATTATTATGGCTTGTTTACTTTGACGTCCATATTCTAAAGCATTTACCCTTCCATACCACAGTGCAGTTTACCTTTTTAAATGATCTTAGATAATTACTTTTCTACTTCTGGTAAACTTTGCTATAATTATATGTACATGTAAGTCTTTGTGGCCTGTTGACAGTTATGGGGACTCATAGCAGATTAAAAGAAGGTGACTTCAGTGTGGATAAATTTGTTCCTTTTCTCATCAGCCGCAACATATGCCTCAGCTGGTGGAGTTTATGCGATACCTTCCAACCAAGATGCATGAACAAGTGCCAGGGTCAAAGGTCATTTGGTACGACAGCGTCATCACAGATGGATCATTGCGATGGCAGGACATGTTGAATGACCTCAACAGGTTAGGAGCAGCATCTTGGAATTCATGTAGGAAATGACAGACAATATCATCTAGACTACATTGCCTGACACATCGTAGCATTCAGCATTATAGAATTGTTGCTTTGTATATGAAGATTTCAAGTTTCTCTTCTGGAAAAAGTAGCATATACATGTACAAAAAGTTATACAGAATTTTTAGTCGGTATTTTATACATTAACCTCTTACTGCCGGGGAATCCCATTTCGAGCACCATGGGTTTATACGAAGAGCCGGAATGCCTCAAATGGGACAAAAGAGCTGGTCCGTGTAACAAAAGGCCCTATTCGGAACAAAAGAACTTCTGCTGGGAATCGCCATCATTTTTCGGCTTGCATTTTTTTTTAAGGTAATCCGTCACTGCTTTTAAACAGTATACCACTGTTTTGGACATAGCGCACCCGCGGATTAGCACGGCGGACGAAAGTGCTCCTAGGTCCCATTGATGAGCGACATAGCACCGCTGCATGCAAATCCGGCCGCGCTAAAAAAGACGCCACTCGCATTCACTGGGGACAAAGGAAATTACGCAACACCTCACAATTCTGGGCTCTCTTTACAGGGCAGCAGGCCTGACTGAAATATTCAGGAGTCAATGAAGGTTACCTGTCAGCTTAGAGTAGTTCCTTCGTGTGGGTGTAAACATCCATCAAATGAAATGATGAATTTTTAAAGAATTCTGAAAACTGAAAATCTTTAAAATCTCCCGTATGTATGCTCTGCATTTTTAAAAGCACCCGGTAGCATGTGGTTAACAAAGAAGACGGGAATATACATGCAGTTTCTGCATAAAAGTTGCAGCATGAAAATACCATAAAATGGGGACAGTCCAAGTTTTGTGAAGTTCGTTAATTCTAAACTCAAGATCTTTCTATCAACTTTGTCAGTATCTTCTATAATCTCACACACATTTGGCACATTGCACCATCAACAGTTTTTAAATTGAAACATTTGCAAATCCACCCACGTTGCAGGTAGCATAATGACATCGTAGATAAAAGTAGTAACCTTGCTTTTTCGTGGTGAATGTAGCGTACAACAGATGACCAGGGGTAATTTTGTGCTCCAACTTTGACTTTGATTTCAGGGAAAAATTGTCGCACATGTTTGAAAAACTAATAATTTTGGTATATTGCAAAGATTTTTAAAGTTTTGAAAACAATAATTCTGTTCTCCTGATTTCATTTACTAGGGTTTTCTTTGATGCTTGTGATGGAATCTTTCTTAACTATACTTGGAATGCTGCCAAGTTGGCAAGCAGTGTTACAGCGGCAGGAGACCGGCAGTATGATGTATTTGTGGGTGTGGATGTCTTTGGCCGCAACTGCTTTGGAGGGGGCGGGTTTAATACAAACAAGGTAGGCTGGACTGAAAATGAATACTGATATTTCATTGTCTTGTGGGCATTCTTATATTGCGTGAAACCTTTAACATTTCCATTTCAGTGCCTCATTTTGTAGTTGAGGACATTTCCACAACTAAAAGTACAAAAAACTGAGGGTTTAAGTTTATATACGGTAGTACAGAACTATCAATTTGTTTAAAGTGTTTTCTTAAAAACATTGTTTACGTAGACAGTTTCTTGTGTTATTTATTTATGTATTTATTTCTAACATGAAAAGGTTTGCTTTAAAGTGTTGTGAGAAATATGCCCTCTGTTGTGTTCTTTACAAATAGGCTATGTCTGTGATCCGACAGAACAACTTGTCGGCAGCCATTTTTGCTCCTGGCTGGGTGTTTGAAAAGCATGGAGCAGAAGACTTCAATGCCAACCAAACGAAGTAAGAATTTCACTGTGCGTAGTAACTCAACTTCTTTAAATTCACCTTTAGAGTTGTAGCGATACAATAACAATAGCAAACGTTCTCAGATTTGCGCCGTTAACTCTAAAAATATTGTTTTCCTTAGCTCAATTTTTAATAGATACTGCATTTGACATTAGCTTTGTGGAAGGTTTTAACATGTACATGCACATGTACACTGTATGTACGTGTCCAATTCTCTGCATAAAACAGGAAGAGACAGTAGTAAGGTTGATCAAAACACAGGAAATGTGAGGAAATCTTCAGGAAGTACATGTACTAAATTTAGGAAGGTTACAGTGATTGGAAAGGTTACAGTTGAAAGGAAGTAGTCTCGCAATAGCCTTGAACAACTGAAATTTAATTCAAAGATATTTTGTCCACCACCATTCTCTAAAACACAACGTTTTACCCTTTGAATTCATTGTGTCAATCTTAGTATCATTCAGTAGCAGCAATATAAGACATACTCTTTGCTTTACTTTTGTATATGTTATTATTGTCACAATGCAGATTGTTCCGGGGGGGGGAGATTTAATATCTTCCCCTTTTTATAACTCCTTCCATAAACTTGCAGTTCTACAGTTGCCTTTGGCTGAAATCACATGGAGCTTTCATGAATGAAAAACAAATAAAAAGCAGTTGATTAAATATGCATGCATGAACAAGTTCTCTTATATGATTTGTCAGTTTTGAGGGATCTTATTGGTGGGTAACAATGTGCCCTCTCTCATCAATGGCTCAATAGGTTCTGGAGCCTGCTGGATGAATTTCTGCCCAGCCACGGTGTTGCTTCACTACCTTTCTTCACCAATTTCTGTCAGGGCTTTGGAGAAATGGGCTTCAGAAATGGTCAGGTGAGGAACAAAATGTAACAAATATAAAATTATTTATTTTTGTCACCGGGAACAGTTGGTCAGAATGAAGATATTTGTTTAGAATAGTTGGACTTTGTCTGCAGTTTATCAATTAATAAAATTAATAATCATGAGTTTATCAGTTATTAATTAAGTTAAAATTGAAGGGATAAACATTTTTTTAGATGCAAACACAATGCGTATACATGTAATCCATAGGATGCTATCCTGTACTGGTGCATGCCACCTTTTGAATAGTGGAATATATTCAACTGAGGCTTTCATTACAGGAGGCATAAATTTCCTTTCCTGATGTGCATCTTTAAATGTAATTAGATGGCCCAGTGGCTGTGAATTAGGGAAATATTTTCAGTGCCCTGCATTGGCACTCGTAATCCTACAGGGCGTCTTCTTTAGATCATGCACAGATACAATGCCTTGTTCTGCTGCTGAGGTCTAGTAATATTTACACCATTGCTACACAGGTGCAGTTATTGCCTGCCGTACCATTGGCTGGCAAAAATGTGACTGTAGTACACAAAGTGTTAAAAATCTCACAGAGCCATTAAAACTTTAAATACATCCAACAAAACCCCCTTTAGCTAAAAGGGGGTGAAAAAATGTGCACTTTGATAAGAAAGCTGTTTTCAAGAATAAACTCTCTGCAAACTTTGGCAGTTCATAGAAATTGGCAGGCAGTGTTTGTAAATGAAAGGGTCCATGTTTACCCATGTTCAGTTCGCACTGTCTGGCTTTTCACATATTAATATTGATTTTTCCCACACTGCCTGGCAGGCGGTGATGAACAAGGCATGGTGCAATCTGAGTGCACAGCAGGTTCAGCCAACCTATGACAACCACCAGTTTGATCACACCCAGGCCAGTAATGGAGGCCAGCGTATGACCCACAGCACAGAGGATGGGTACAGTGGAGGGGGCAGTTTGCTGCTGAGTGGAAACTTGAACAGAAAAACAGTGCACACCTTCAGGTAGGAATCAAAAAGGCAGTTTGTAGTCTACCGCAAAACCAACCAAATGTTTAAAAATTATACCTAAGATTTTC